TTTATGATGGCGACGAAGCTTCTCGCATATGAGGAAGGTTTCGTTATAGATGTGTCTACCTGAATCTGCTAAGTTTCCATAACTCATCAGCTTTCAATGCTGGTGATGTTGCCTCCTCTATAGGGAGAAAATTGAGGAGGGTTCTTTATAAGGGTCGTCGGGTGGCTGGTTGTGGGGGAACAAAGCGAGGGGTCTGTTTCAGTTTATACTTTTCAACGAGAAATGTCGTTTTCGGGTTCGACGGAGGTGCTGCGATCGGCGCCTCTTGCATCAGCGGGTTTGACTAAGTCTTACTCGATGCCGGAGACAGCACGGTCATCATGTTCATCGTTGGCGTCGATGAACTCGGAGCACCATCGTAAGGGCTCGTCTCAGAGGGCTAAGAAGAGGAAGAAGAGTGGTAGGGGTCGGCGGCGGCATGATAGGGATTATGAAGGGACCGCGAGAAGGACCTTTGACTGCTATAGCTGTATTAAAAGGATACGGGCGCATAGACCGATTTACCTTAGAAACGACTTTACTTATTGCTCGAGAGCGTGCCGGGAGAAGGGCGTGTCGGAGCTCTTTGGTAAGTTTGCACGTCATGGTGGACTCACGCCTGAGGAACTCGATAGTCTATCTGTACGACAATTGGGGATACTCCGGTCGAAGGCAGTTGATGTGTGTGCTGCTATGGCGGTTCAAGCGATAACAGTGTCGGCGATGCGGAGGAGGGATAGCGGTGATCCTGGTGTTGCTGTGAGGACCTATCTCAATCCAGAGGACTACTCGTGCTTGGGGCGGCCGGGAGAGGACGATGGTCGAGATCAGTTTGATGATGAGGAGGAGGCTGCTGCGGTGGAGGAGGAGGAGAGCGCTCGGGAGAGGCTGGAGGCTGAATGGGGGCATAGGCCGGGGACTATAATGGAGGCGGCGCAGGAGCGTGCGAGGCTAATGATACGGAATCTCGCGCTGAGATTGAGCAGTAACGCATTGGTGTCAAGGGCTGTGAATACGTATTGTAGCAGTAGGGAATGGGGACAGGAGATGACCAAGAATAGCAGTGTTGGGATGTTGTTCTCATATTTACCGGAGCTGCAGGGGCCGACTTTACCGCAGGATCGAACAGATGCGAGTTTGGCGGCTCGAGTGGAGCTGGAGCAGGAGGCTGCTATAGAGGAGAGTATGTATTGCCCTATGGGGCAGGCTTCTAGTGGGTCGAGTATGTATAGTACAACGGTGGGGGACCAACAGGAGGTGTGTAGTAAGCATGGGGGTCCAGCTAGGGGACTAGGGTCTATTCCTAGCAGAGCAGGTAGTGCAGTGAGGGGGAGAATTCGGGTGGGGAATCATTCGATTGTGTTTTAGTTTCCATCATCCGCCTACGAGGAGATGATGATGATGTTGAAAGTGAAAGGGCGAAAGCTGTAGAGCCTCGTCGAAGAACTCTGGGAATTTTTTGACAGTATTAGAGATACCGTAGTAGTAGTGTTGGATGCATTAAGATGGGTGTGTATAGGTGATCACGAGTAAGTTCATCACCACCATCATCATCAGCTGCCTCTGCACTGGTCTTCATCATTGCCCCTGTCTGCGGCGATTCGTATCATTTTGTCGCACTAACTTCCTATCTTGCCTGTACGAATTTTTCATTATTATCATTGTAGTTATATCATCTGCCTTGTATGGTTGATCATTGTGGAGGGAAGGTGTTTTATCTAAGCTCTCGAGGAGCTCGGGATGATCGCTCTATTGCCGCTATCACAACCACTACGGTAAAAATACAATTCTGTGATTTTTGGATATTAGTATTGTCACTATAAGTGAACGGAGTTTGGATAAGCTGTATTGGAAGAGGAGCGTTGCCTTGGGTGTTGCGTACGGGTGTATTTTCCACGTAGTATTTGGGAGCCGTCACTAAACCTTGTTGGAATTCCGTTGTGAAACACTGCGTGGAATTTCCGAACTTGCCTGAGGAAAAATACGCTTTTTTGAGTTGGGCTAATGTCGGGGTCCTCATCCTCTGTTCGGGAGCCTCCTCGTCATCGTGAGTGGAGTCACATCGACGCAGTGCGGGAGGGTAATGTACGGCGGAGGGAGGCTGAGATGAGGAGGAGGGAGAGGGAGCGTCTTGAGAAGGAGCAGGAGGCTAGGAAGGTACTGATGCGGTTAAGGAGGATCGATTGATGACCTTGTGAGCTTAGATGTTAGAGGAGTGTGCGGCTGCTAGGAGGGATAGGTGTAGACAAGGGCGATTAGCTGAAGGTGTGGTAAGGGCTCGAGAGAGGAGGTTGAAAGCATTGGAGAACGATTATAAGGATCGTTGCCGCGAGATCAAGATCACGGCTCGACACCAGGTGGGGTTCATCACTGGAAGGAGGCCGCCTGTTCGCTGATATATGGGCGACCAACGTGACGTTTTAGAACTGGTTCTTGCGAGAAACGGAGTCGGTGGTGAAGTCGGCAGAGCAGTTGAGGGTGGAGGAGGAGGTTCAGCGAGAAGTGATGAGGGGTTATAAGGAGATGCGGCGGAGGTGTATTGAAGGGCGGGCAGAGGGTAGGAGGAGGCAGTTGGAGGGGTTGGGTAGTAAGGCGAGGAGAAGGGTAATGTCGGGGTAAGGAGGAGGCCCGCTCTCGATAGTGGATTAAGTCTACCGCATTCTGGTATCGCTTGGTGAATTGATATTTCTTATACACTCTTATTGCAGTGATCACCTTGAGGTAGTGTGATTGGTATATGTCAGGCGACGAGTGTAGAGAGTAGAGAGGAGCAGCGGCAGCATAGAGAGGTGGCTAGGGTGGATAGTCTGAGGGAACTGGTGGCAGTAGAGAAGGCTAGGAGGATGGATGCCTTCGTCACTGCCATGGAAACTGGTGCTATACCACGCTTACTGAGGTAGGAGGGTCCGGGGGGAGCTGCTGGTGATGGATCGTGGTCCTGCTGCTGGTAGTCGTTTACCAATCGCTGACGAAAGCGTGGCTTGCCTGTAAACACTATCGTAATATCATTGATAGCATTATCGCATGTTGTCGCCGAATTTACCAGTGCTGGAAGGTGTTGTGCAATTGTCAATAGGGTGGAGCTGGGAGATGGGGTCTCAACTCACTACGAATGATGGCGCTATCATGGCGGGCGAAAATTCGAAGATATTTTAAGAATCTTCGCAGTGCGCGGCCGTTTTAGATTCCTCCCTTCCGGGGTGAAGCTCGACCAGGCGATATCCTGTGATTTGGACTCTCTCGGAGTTGAGCTTTTCTGCAGTATCAATATGTTCCAGGTAGTGAGTGTCAGGGCGAAGGCGACGGCTGATGCTGCTGAAGACTTCCGACGTAGAAGGCGAGATTCCCGTATATTATGTTCAACGCACTAAGACATGTTTCGATCTGAGATGCCCAAGGGGTTCGGTGATGATGATGTATGTATGTTGTTCATCATCCAGTATTGGCTGTGTTGAGTTGTTGGTCAATTAGTCAATCCGTGGGAGTAGGGGTATTAGTATGACCATAGACAGCTCGCAAGGTGCGGCTCTTGACGTAGCCTTCTGCACTGCGTGGTTTCAGGCAAGGTTGCAGCTACCAGGTGATGAGTGTGTCTTGGCTGCTGTTGACGGGAAGAGTCGTCGTTTCAGGTGTCACTGCAGAGCACTGGACCGACCACGTAGCGAAGAAGTGCCTCGACTGGGCCATCAACCCCGATGCTGCCAGCATTTGTCTGTGGCAAAAGGAGGACGGCACGTTGAAGGTCTTTAAGCACACTCGTGAGGGAATAGACTCCTTGGAGATGCATGAGTTTGACGGTCAGGGAAATCCGAGTCCAAAGCGACTGTCGCTGGCCGTTTGCCCAAGGCTATCCATTCGGGTCGAGTGAGGGAGTTCGCTGCTTTCTATAAGCGCACTCCTACTGCGTGTACGAAGGATAATATAGGGGTAAGAAATGAGGTTTTGGTTGGGTAGCTGCTGAGCGGAGGGGCTTATGCAGGAGGTTGTGATGTTTACTGTGGTGAGGGGTGATATTCTACGCGATGGTCCGATGCTGTTATTCAACTCCATCTATGCTCCGATGACTACTCGTGACTTGGGCTGGCCGGATAACGTCAGAAGGGAGTTTACGGAGGAGGTAAGGGTTCGGCATGACCGTGCTCAGGCATGTGAATTGCCGCTCTCAGTTGGTATTGCTCTTTTGTCAGTTTCAACGGTTCATAGCGGCCAGTGTGGAAGCGGCCAACCTCGCTAAGGGTACGACGGTGCTGTATGTGCCTGTTGACGACTTGGAGGATACTGAGGCTGTGAGTAAGGATAAGGATCTTGTGCAGCGATTGGAGAGCTGCCTCATACACTGGGTATGGTTGGGTGTCTCTCCGCTGCTGTGTTATAGTCCCCCGGCAGACCCGACAGATCAAAGATGTCACCAGTGGTCAGGGGGTGTCCTCGGAGGCCCTCACTGGCGACACTCCGGACCCGTCTAAGCAAGGTGGGTGATGAGGCCCATCGTAGAGCTGATGATGGGTTGGTAGGTCCGCTGAGCGAAATAGAAATGTGGGCGATGCGCGATGTGGATCTGTCTGAGTTGAATGGCCAGCTGAAGTCAGCGGAGCTACAGCAAGTTCTGAAAGTGTTGGAGGCGGCGAAGAGCCCCTACTTGACGCAGTTCAAGTCGTTGGAGGACAGCATTAATCAGGGCAGCATCGAAGCACGGGATAACCTCAAGTTCCTGTCTGTAGGTTGGGAGTATGGGAATGGCCCCATGTTGTGGCGGCTCAGGTCCTGAAGGAGCCATGTCTGGAGTTGGCTGAAGCTGGCCCGGCGGAGTTGACAGCGCTGTTGCCGAAGATCCTCAACTGCGTGCGTCTGGTGTGGTCCATGAGCACCTACTATAACACGACTGATCGGATCATTGGCCTGCTGAGAAAGGTCAGTAACGAGGTGATATACCGCTGCCAGCAGTGGATAACTGTGGAGAGGATATTCCAGGGTAGGGCTGTGTGCTAGGGGGGGGGTCGGTAGGGCGTTGGGTAGGTGCTGGAATTGAGGAAGTGAAGAAAGTGTTGTCGGACTGTATACGATGCTGCAAGGCCTTTCAAGAGGGCTACATGTGTGTGTCGAGGCTCATTGCAGCGGACAAGACGGCGAAGCCTTGGGATTTCCCACACGGTTCCATTTTCGCACAGGTGCCTTGGGGGAGTTGGCCGGGGTTGATTGTGGATTTCTCGGGGCTTCTCAGGTTGACGCATTCGTCCAGCGATGTGCTGATCTCACAGATCTTTGCGTCGCCCGGGAGCAGTTTGCGATTTCGAGTCTAGGGGGAGAGTATCCAGTTTTCACAGGTTGGTGGTGGGTTGGGTGGCGGCATGTATATGTGTTGTTGAAGGTACCAAGGCCGAGGATGTCACCAGAAGTTTGAGTGAAATCGAACTCACATTCTTACGGCATGCCGATCGACTGTGGATAGCTGATTATGATATACTTGATGTAAAGGCGGGGAAGTGGCATGAGGACTATGGCACGCTGAAGCAGCAGATCAAGGATCTTGAGGTTGGTCTGTGGTGAATTTGGAATTGTAGTAGATGCTCTATAAAGGTCATGTACATTAACGTGATCAACTCCGCCTTTGATAACGTATCAACGGTGGGGGCAGCATGTGATTTGCTCATGAACTTTTACGTCCTGGCGAAGCGAGAGCGAGTGGTGACTTTTGTCCAGAAGAAGTCATCTAACGTGTAAGCGGAGATCTCCAGGACGATCGGCTAGTGTTGGTGAGCGTATAAGAAACTAGGGAAACTCCTATTGGTGTTGTTACAAATCATGGATAACTCTTCATAACGTTGTGGGGGAATTTTCCGAGCTCAGCGGCTGATGAACCTGAGCACATATTCTAACATTGGTCGCCGGCGTCGCAGGTATGGCCTTTTCCTTGGTGAACTGGCTGGCATCAAGAGGGAGTTTGAGCAGTTTAGAAGAAAACCTCAGTTGCCGGTCGCAGCGGAGCATCCCCCGTTCGCGGGTCAGGCGATGTGGGCTAAGGGCATTGCATTGAGAATACAGCGGCAATGGGAGGTGGGATGTTGTCTACAGCTTCGCTCCGCTGAGGAATATTCTTTCTCTTGCTGGACTAGGTCATGCTGGAGTTGATCGAAGCAGGAGTGCTGTATCCATCGAGGGAGCAAGCAATGGCGCGTGACGGTTACCACAACTTGTGTATTCTGCTGGAAGGATTCGCAGTGCAGGTGAGATGGAGGCGGACGGGAACTATGACGCTGATGATGTTCTTGGTAGACTTTCACCGAGTGGCAAAATGATTTGAGGTCTCTAGGGGAAGAGGACCTCCCGAAAAGGTTGATGCAGAACCTCTTGAACCGGTGCGATGGGTTGGGGTCGGGGATGGACCTCCGTTAGGGCTCGTGCAGGTCGGATGGCGGTCGCAACGTGGCTGCCTCGGCGAGGACCGGTCCACGGGGATACCATATTGAGAATAACTTCGATAAGGGCCTCTTGCGGGTGCTTAGGGAAGTCTACTGTTGGGAGAAGATACAGGGATCGGGTAGGTATGCATGTTGCTATTGCTCTAGCGTGGTGATAGGTATCGTGGTACCGTACTCGGCGCACGACTTGGGGACTCATAGGGAGCATATGAGGGTCGTGCGTGAGCATGTGATGCGGGTTGTGAGAGAGTATAACGAGATTATTGATGCTTTGTCGCCTGTGGAGAGGAGGCTGTTTGCGCAGCACTTGAAGAACTTAGATAGGAGAGTAGCACCGGGTTTGCAGAAGTAGGATGGAGCCGACGAGTGGTGGTGTTGTTGTTGACGTTGTGGTAGGTATACTTGGACTTCAGCGGGTATAAAGGAGTTCTTCGTACGGGACGCATGTCGAGAGTGCTCGAAGTTGTATGAAATAGTGAGGCAGTACAAGGCGAACGACATGAAGATCAAAGAGGCATGCATGGCTATTGAGACGAAGCTGTTGATAAGGATTGAGAAGGGTATCTATCACGCGGCCCAGTTCAAGGAGATGCAGGCTGGCTACAAGAATCATATCGAGGAATACCTCACTCAACATCATCAGCGCATTACGGACCTTCTCATGAGGACATATCAGTTCTTTGAGGTAGCGACAGCCGACAGCCTGGGTTAGTTGAATTGTGCTAGTAGTAGAATATCCTTGTGACGACTGCGGTGTTGGTGCCTTGACATTGGTATCGTTGAGGTTACTTGAGTGATTGCTCAGGCGCACCCAGCGGAGATCCAGAAAGAGTGGCGACGGTATGTGGACTCGATTGACGAGCGTATTCTGGAAGCTCTGAAGCGGTCCATGAAGAACAGCCTTCGGGATTTGAGCCAAGCCTTGAATGGTGATGGCAAGACTGAAGTGAAGCCGCTATTTAAGCTCTTCGCCACGCTGGTGGGGCATCATATGGACTTTGATCCGACTGTAAATGAGCTGAAGGAGTTGTTGCAGAATGTGGGTTCCCTTTGAAGTGGTTGCACTGGGAAGACTTTGGTCAGGTGTGCCGGGATATGACAACGACTTTGACTGTTATAGTCAGATTACCGAGGCACTTCAGGAAGGAGAAGGTGACGGGCTTGCCTATCCTCTTAACAGTGTCGTCAAATCTTATCTTACTCGTGATGTGAATGCTTTACTGACTTCTGTGGATCGTGAATTTGATCGCGGTAGGTCGCTCGAGATATCGAAAGGAAAGAGCAGTTGTTAAGTCAAGGAAATGTCCAAGCGGCAGCAACTATATACATCCCGACGGCTGAAGATGTGGGTGCAGCTCACGAGGGGGAGCACTGAGCCTTGTCGTGGTTCAGGATGCGGCTTTCGAGGAGACTCTGGTCGGCAGGGGATCGTACTTCGAGGATATATCTAAGGATGATGAGTGTGTTATCAAGTAGGGTGGGTGTAGTGACAGGCTAGTGGTTACTGTTTGGATTGAGCAGGTATGTGAAGGAGATCTTGAGGGGCTTCAATCGGTGTGCCATTAAGCTTGAGGATAAATTGAAGTGGTGGAGTACGACGTACCAACCCATCGTTAGTGAGGATAAGGATACATTCTTACGCCGATATGCAAAGACTGAGAGGCCTCTTAGTGTGGTGGGTGAAGATATCCAAAAGTGAGTAAGGCTGTCCCTCTCTATTGCAATGATGCTTATCGGCAGTGAGCGTGCTCATGGATCTTGACTTGCTGTTTTCGTTCCTCCTCCGCACCGCGTATGTCATTGACCCTCATGTTGATCCAACTTCAGGTATAAGCGTTTACAGTTGGATATACAGCAAGAAGAATACAAAGTTATCATCGACTTCATCCACGCCGATTTCTCTCAACTCAAAAACGAGCTTATCAAGCATTGTCAGCAGTGGCGCGAGAAGCTTACGGACCTGCTCCATGACAGGGCTAAGCAGCAGCTGGACTCTATACTCGGGTGAGGGGTGTTCACTCCGTCGAAGTAGAGTAAGCTTTGGTTCTTTTTCCGTTGAGGTTTTGTCTGGGATTCGGAGTAGTGAATCCACGATTAGATTGGTGGTGTCACCAATCACCACTGTGGTAATTGTTAGTCGTCCTTTTATTCAGGTACTTTACTAGCAATAGTAAGATTCTACTCTCTACCCCCCGGAATTTCGATCAGCTTCGGGAGCGGATACATCTACTGGACACTTGCTCGAATGACATTGGAAACATGGACGACAGGATCAAACCTGTTGAAGATATGTGAGTACCCGAGTAGCGACCATCTCATCTACTTACTGTACTCATCCTGCTGGGAATATCTCACAGTGTGCCGAATGAGTGTTGGAATCAGTGGATCATTCACTGGTGTAATGGGAGGCCCGTTATCCTTGATGGTACGGCTGGAAGTGCTGGCATTATGGAAGCTAGTCTGTTGCTTTGAGAACATACGTTGTTTGAAGGTACCAAGCGTTAGCCGACTTTGATGTCGCGACGAGTGATGTTGAAACAGCTCGTAAAATGTCGATGAGGCCACGCCTTGAGAACTTTAAGGACAATCTGGTCGAGGCAGGGGAGGTGATCCCTGGAGGAGTTAGGGTGACGATAAGCCTGAGTGGGTGTATTAGATACTGTCCAAGAGCAAGAAGGTGATGAAGGTGAAGCTGGAAAATGAGCTGCAGGCCTTTTCCACGTCGGTCAAGGGACTCTTTGAAGACTTCAATAAACGGGTAGGGAATCAGTTGTGTTTTATCAAGGGTGCTGATCGATCCTCCAGGCTCCGTTCTCTTCGGATGATATCAGCGTCTCGGAGGCAAGGGGCCTTTTGGAGGAGTTCACGAAGGAGCTTGAGCGCAAGCGGAAGCAGGAAGTTGACTTCCGACCTAATCTCGAGTTATTCAAAATGGATGTACGTTGACTGGCGGGGGTATGTGAGGGGTAGATTGAGGAACGGTTTAGGCGGCGTCTTACAAGGAAATAGAGAAGGTTGGTGAAAAGTTGGAGTCTTTGAGGACTATATGGGGGTATCGTGCTGACTGGGACGAACAGCTGGAGGAGATCACGAGGGTTCAATTTCGAGACCTTGACGTGAGATACCACTGCGGTTCATGGCTGAGTGTTTTGTAGTGGAGAACTTGGACACGATGGCTGCTGGCTATCAGAAGAAAGTAGTATCAGTGCGACTGATCAGTCTGAGGTGTAGTGCTATTGTACACCTCCTCCTCCTTACTGTTCAGTGCGTGAAGTTGAGGGGGACTATGGGTAACTGGAATGTGTGGCAGATCTCAAGAAGGGGATCGACGAGTTCCGTTTGGCTATGCCATTGATAACAAATCTGAGGTAGACCCTGAACCATGCAGAGTAGGATGGTATTCGGCGTTCAGGTTGGATGCGATGCGACCTCGGCATTGGAAGGCTATAATGGAGGAAATAGGTTGCGAGTTCGATCCCCACGCTGGGGATTTTACTCTGGGGAAGGTGGCGCGGACCTCAGACGGGGGCTATGGTATGACTCTTATATCAGGTCTTCGAGCTTGAGTTACCCAAGCATTCGGAGCTTATCGCTAGGCTGGCGGACGAGGCGAGGAAGCAGTATGAGATAGAGTCAGGTCTGGAGATGATCGAAGGAGTGTGGGCGACTATGGAGATCGAGATGATGGACTACAAGCAGCATTACGTGAAGATCAGGAGTAGGCATATCAGTTGTGTGAAGGGCCCACCTCTCCTCACGTTGTCCATCCTCTGATGGTATTGCTGTGGATGGGATCGATTGCCTAGTAGATGTGACTAAGCTTCCTTTGGTGGCATCTTGCGCTTTTGAGGCGCAGTTCAACTGTATATTAACGTGCTGTAGGTACCGAGGAGCTGTTCCAAGCCTTGGAGGAGCATATTCTGAAACTATCTGATATGAAGAGCTCACAGTTCTATCTACCCTTCGCCGAGAAGGTTGACAAGTGGGAGAAGATGCTTGCCAGTGTGAGCGAAGTAGTGGAAAACATCCTTGCGGTACAACGTGCTTGGATGTATCTCGAGAATATCTTCGTGGGGAGCGACGATATAAGACCGCATCTGCCAACGGAGAGCGCTTGGTTCGATGATGTGAATGATGGATTCCCGAAGATGTTGAGAAGCATTTATGATCATCCGAATGCGGTCGAGTCGTGTGCGGGGGATAACTGCGGGGAGATGCTGGAGAGTCTGAGTTCTTATATGGAGAAGCTGGAGAGGATTCAAAAGGCTTTGGATGACTATCTCGAAAGGAAGAGGATGCTGTTCCCGAGGTTCTACTTCTTGTCCAATGATGATCTGCTGGAGATACTGGGCCAAGCTAAGGAGCCAGAGTTGGTTCAGAAGCATATCAAGAAGTGCTTTGAAGGTATTAAGGTACTCGATTTGGTGAAGACTCAGCGAGAGGAAAGAACGGTTTGTGAGGCGGTGGGGATGATATCTCCGGATGGGGAGAAAGTGCCTTTCTCCAAGCCTGTGATACTGGACCCTCCAGTAGAGGGATGGTTAGTGCAGGTGGAGAGGAGAATGAGGAGTACGTTGAGGAAGCTGTTGAGGTCGTGTGAGGAGGCGAATAGATCGAAGGGGATGAAGAAGGACAAGTGGGTGCTCAAGTATCCCGGGCAGTTGCTCATCACGGCTGGGCAAATATCTTGGACGACGGCTTGCCAGAATGCGCTGGCCAAGGTAGCTGAGGGTAACAAGAAGGCGATGAGGATGTGCAGGAGGCGGCAGACGAGGACCATAGCGAAGTTGACAGATATGATAAGGAAACCGTTGGGTAAGGTGGACAGGAACAAGGTGGTGGCTCTGATCACCATCGAGGTCCACGCTCGGGATGTCCAGGAGAGGCTCATAGTGCTGAAATGCGAGTCTCCGCAGCACTTCGACTGGTTGTCTCAGCTGAGATTCGAGCTGATAGAGCCTATGGTTGGTGGGGAAGATGCGGTTATGGCTACGGGGATGGAAGATCTGACTGGCCAGGAAAAGAAGACGGGTTCGACCCTATCATGTGTCGTTTTGCAGACTAACACGATGAACCCATATGGGTACGAGTATCAGGGGAACAACGGCCGGCTTGTGATCACGCCTATGACTGACCGTTGCTATATGACGCTGACGACAGCGATGCACCTGAAGAGGGGCGGAGCTCCTCAGGGTCCGGCCGGGACGGGTAAAACAGAGTCGGTGAAGGACTTGGGTAAGGGTATGGCGAAGTACGTTATAGTCTTCAACTGCAGTGATGGGCTTGACTACAAGTCTCTGGGAAGAATGTTCAGCGGGCTGGCCCAGGCAGGGGCTTGGGGGTGTTTTGATGAGTTCAATCGTATCGAAGTGGAGGTTTTATCGGTGGTAGCAGCACAGATCCTCTGCATTCAGGTCGGCATGTATGTTGTTGGATGGTTGATGATGGTGTCGCATTTCAGACCGCACTTCGTGAGGAGAGAGAGACCTTCATGTTCGAGGAGAACGTCATTCGACTGGATAAGAGTTGCGCTGTCTTCATCACGATGAATCCAGGATACGCGGGTCGTAGTGAACTGCCGGACAACCTGAAGAGTCTATTCAGACCTGTGGCGATGATGGTGAGTAGCTTGCGGTGGAAGGGGAGGGAAGTGGTGAATCGTTCAGGTACCGGACTTGGCGATGATAGCTGAGATTATGCTGGTGTCCGAAGGGTTTATGGACTTCAAACCGCTGGCTAAGAAGATGGTCACGCTGTACACAATGATGGTGCAGCAGATGAGCAAACAGGTACTCGTCTATTGGTCTATCATTCCGCTCTCGCAAATAAGTGATATGAGGTTGGACTCGACCGGTTTGGTGGATTGACAAAACTGCGAGGTGGTGGTTGGATGTGAATTCGTTTGCATTGCCTTAGGATCACTATGACTTCGGCTTGAGGAGCATCAAGAGTGTCCTCAACTGTGCAGGGGCTCTGAAGCGTAATGAGCCGGAGATGGACGAGGCCGCCATCCTCATGAGAGCTATCAATGATATGAACGCTCCCAAATGGGTTTCCCAGGTATGTTGGGTCGACGTTGAAGTGGAGGTGTTCGCTGTCTTAGGATAAGCCTCTGTACGCTGCGCTGTTGGGGGATCTTTTCCCTGGCCTGGAGCTTCCCGATCCGGATTATGGTGATCTAGAGAAATGCATAAAGGAGGTCTTATTAGATTACAAGTTGCAACCAACGGACCATGCGGTTCACAAGGTAGACGATGAGTAACTCACGTTGTTATTCGTTGGTCTCAGGTAATACACACGTACGAGACGAAGATAACGCGGCACGGCAATATGTTGGTGGGAGCGAGCCTAGGGGGGAAGAGCACGGCCTGGAAGGTGAGCTTGATAGCCGAGGTAGTCAGACGACGACGATGTGATGGTGGAGCGGTAGGTGTTGGCCGAGACGAAGACGAGGCTGTGTAAACGTAATGTCGCTGGGTATGACAAAGTCTTGTATTACGTATTGAATCCAAAGTCAATAACAATGGACGAGTTGTACGGCGCCTACGACCTTACCACCATGGAGTGGACCGATGGGGTCTTCTCGACGTTGATGCGACAAGCTTGTCAGGTGGGCCGTTCGCTGATAGTCAGGTCACGGATTGGTTGCTGCTGCCGTTGGTGTAGGATGAGAAGTCGGATGACAAATGGATAGTCCTGGACGGTCCTGTGGATACGTTGTGGATTGAGAGTATGAATACTGTGCTAGATGATAACAAGGTGAGGGAGGGACTTTTTACCAGCAGCGGCAGTAGCAGCTGTTGTTGCTGCCTAGGTCCTCACGCTGATCAATGGTGATCGTATATCGATGCCGCCACAAGTGTCATTGCTTTTCGAGGTGGAGGATCTCAGCGTAGCTTCACCAGCAACGGTCAGCCGTGCAGGTGGGGCTAGCGTTGCCTTGATTGGTTGTGTGTTCATATCTGCTATAGGCATGGTCTATTTTGACGTGCACGACTTGGGTTGGAGGCCATACTCTGCTTCGTGGATGGAAAAGTTGGGCTCGACCAGGCCAGCTCAGTTCCCTGCAGAACGGCTGGCTGAGGTGGGCGATCTGTTCCAGAAGTGGGTACCGACGATTCTGCAAGCGAAGAAGGGGCTGTTGGAGCTGGTGCCAATCAGCGAGATCAATGGGGTAAATCGAGCCGATAGTTACGATGGATGTTCGCGTTGTCTGGTAGGTCATGAGTCTCTGCCGCCTGTTTGAATGTTTTGGGATGAACTTGAAATACGACAGTATGGGGGACAAGGCGAGCGATGTTCTGGAGAAGGTCGGAACGAAATTGTTGTATCGGATTGAACGGATCGCTTCTGGAAGGTATTTGTTTTCTGCCTTGTTTGGTCCCTGGGAGGCTCTTTGACGGAGAAGAGTCGAACGGAGATGGACGCGTCGTTGCGACAGATCGATAATAGCATCTTCCCGCATGGGCATTCGGTCTACGACTATGCACTATGGAATGTGGAGAAGACGGCTGAGTTTGACCTTTGGAGAGATCGTCTTCCGGATCCTTTCAAGTGGGCACTTCCTTTTTTCTAGCCTGTATGCTAGATGGATGTGAGTGGAATTCTATCAGGCCTGGGGATCTGCCTTTCCACAAGATTATAGTCCCCACTGCGGATACACTACGTCACGGTGATATCATCTCGAGTCTAGTAGTCCATCATCATCATGTCCTGCTTGTTGGGCACACTGGTACGGGTAAGACAGTGGCGGCCCAGCAGGTAAGGTAGGAGCTGTGAGTACTTGGTGGAAGGTCTGAAGTACAGGTGCTTAGTGGCTGCAATGAAGACAAATCCAAATGGTGCAGTCTGGTCATCAACCTCAGTGCACAGACCAGCAGCGCTATGGTCCAGGTAGTAGGGAGGCCGCCACGGCGATTGAAAGCGGCGGTATGTAGGACATAATAGAGGGCCGGGTAGAGAAGAGAATTAAAAATAAGTTTGGGCCGCCCATGAACAGGAGGATGGTCATACTTGTCGACGACTTGAATATGCCGAGGAAAGATCTATTTGGGAGTCAGCCGCCTTTGGAGCTGCTGCGTCAATGGACGGACTACGAGTGCTGGTAGTAGGCTCTTGGTACTGATTCAAGGCAGGTAGGAGTACGTACACTGGTCCAGGTACGATCGGAAGAAGCAGACCTTGCGGTATATACAGGACATCCAGTTGCTGGGTGCCATGGGGCCACCTGGAGGCGGCAGGGCTGTTATATCGAGGCGGCTACAGAGTCGATTCAATCTACTCTGCGTGGTGAGTGTATCTGCAAGACGGTGTGGTGGCAAAAAGATCCTCAGGTGAATCCTAATGACGCACAAGTGAAGTTGGTGTTCCAAACTCTGTGCTCGCACAAGTTGGAAGCGGGCTTCCGTGATGACCTGAAGAGCATGTCGGACTCCATCACTGCTGCTACTACGACGCTGTATACAGTCATCCAGGTAGGCTTTCTACGGTGTTCGTGGGGCGCAGGGGGGGATTCCTTGGCACTTCAGGAAAAGTTCCTCCCAACGCCGAGTAAGTGTCATTACCTCTTCAACCTTCGAGACGTGAGCAAAGTCTTCCAAGGAATTTACTTGGTAATAGAAAATGCTTGTGTGAGTTGGAATGTATTTGTAGGCGAAACCGGCGTGCTTTGACGAGAAGGATAAGTTTCTGCGGCTTTGGCTACACGAGTGTTGCCGAGTCTTCATGGACCGTCTCATTAGCGAGGAGGATAGAACTAACTTCATCTCAGTGATCGACACTGTGATGGATGAGACTATGCAGGTCCGCGTTAAAGAGGTCGGACGCTGTTACTTGATGCAGTGCGGGATGATATCTTGTCGCAGATCATCGAGCGCAATGAGCATGTATACGACATTGTTTTTGGTGGAGTTGATCTGAAGACTCACGACGCGGAGGACCCCCCATACGACCAAATGGTGGACAAGAAAGGGTTGAAGTTGTTCATGGAAGCTAAACTGGAGAACTACAACGACGAGATGAAAGGCAGAGCGATGGACATAGTGCTGTTCAAGGATGCAATCGAGCACTGCCTCAAGATTCTTAGGTTAGGATTGTGTGTATCGGCTATCGTAATGCGGTGGCTTTGTAATTCTTTGCGGGTTGCCTCTCCTGGTTAACAGTCCTTGCGGCCTAGGTTTTGATGAAGATATTTTAACTCCGCACGGTATGGGTCTTCGAGAATCGTTCTCGCTCAGGATAATACGCATGCCTCGAGGCAATGCCTTGCTAGTGGGGGTTGGTGGCAGTGGTCGTCACTGCCAGACGCGTCTGGCATCATATATCGCCGAGTATAAGTGCTCCCAGATAGAGATCAACAAGAACTATAATCATCAGAAGTATCTAGTGCAGTCGGAGTGTTGTGGCCTTTGAGGGTTATGGTAGATTCCGCGAAGACATCAAGGCCATCTATGAGACGGCAGGGGTGAAAGCACAGAACGTGACGTTCCTCTTCAGCGACACTGAGATCTGCGATGAAAGCTTTTTGGAGGATGTATCTAATATACTCTCCAGTGGGGAGGTGCCCAACCTATATGCAGCCGACGAGCTCAACCAAGTGAGACAGGATATAACCCTGTGTGATGCTTGAGAACGTCGTTCAGGTCCGTACTGCCCTGGAGAAACCAGCGAAGGAAGCAGGGATCGCCTTTGGTCCCGAGGCGATCTATGACTTCTTCCTATCGAGAATTCGAGAGAACCTCCATGTGGTATTCTGTGCGAGTCCAATAGGAGATAGCTTCAGGAATTACTGCCGCATGTGAGCAGACTCCGGTGCGGCTGTGGGGTTGGATGATTTCACAGGTATCCGTCTCTGGTCAATTGCTCAACCATTGATTGGTTCCTGCCGTGGCCCAATGAGGCCCTCACGGAGGTTGCCATGAAGTTCCTCACTGGAGCTCCAGGTGGGCGGCTGATGTCGGAGCGGAAGTGCTGTGAGTGGGTGTACTCCTAGGGCTGCCGCCTGCACACGTGGCCAACGTTGCATCAGTGTTCGGGACAGCCCACACTGCAGTGGTGGAATTTAGTGACATAATGTTGGAAACGCAGAAGAGGCACAATTACGTGACCCCCACCAACTACCTCGAGCTGGTGAACAGCACACGGCAATAGCTAGAGAATGACAAATGGCGGTTCAGGTTCAAGGCTACGTGACTGCTTTGAGGGAAAAAGGTGAAGCGATTGGAGGATCAGCAGACAAACTCCGCAATGGTTTGTCGAAGCTGATGGAAGCCCGAACTCAAGTCGAGGAGATGAGCATCGTACTGGAGAAGAATCAGGTGATGGATGGGTGTGATTACATTCTCGACTGGAAAAATGTCGGATGACTTTTATCTATGCGATGATCCGAGGCCGCGGGAGCTGTTGGTATCTGACCTTGCAGGCTCGGAAGCTCTTGTTCTGCCCTCGTTGGGTGCCCATGTCATCACAGTGAATAGATAGCTACATTGGCATGGCTGTGTAGGAAATCGTGTCGAAGAAGCAGAAGGAGTGTCAAGAGCTCATGGTTGTTATTGTCGAGAAGAGGGCAAATGCAGCGGAGCAGGAGAAGGTCGTCAGAGCCGATGAGGTCCGGATCCAGGCCGAGACCAAAGAGACAGAGGTGAGGGGAGGGCACTGCAGCAGCGTTTAGAGTTCCATATTTGCCTATCGCAGGTCCTCGCGGCTGATGCTCAAGCTGACCTAGACAAGGCCATGCCGGCGTTACAGGCATCTGAGGACGCATTGAATAAGCTCGATAAGAAGGCTATTGCGGAAGTGAAGGTAATACGTTGCTGGAAGCCCCGAGGCATCGTCGCATGGGTTGGCCTTGTCTTAGGTGTATGCCAAACCCCCGGAGTTGGTGATGAAGACTATGTGTGCTGTGATGACTGTGATGGAGAAGGCCCCAACCTGGGCCCAGGCTAAGCTTGAGCTCAATGACGTCAGTTTCCTCCACAAAATCAAGACCTTCGATAAGGATAACATCTCAAATGCGACCGTGAAGAAGATCGAGAAGTACATTTTTCGATGAAGCGTCCACGTGTATTCATGTTATCAGGTTTACGAAGGATCCAGCGTTCACTCCAACTGCTGTAGGGAAGGTTAGCGTAGCTGCTGGAGCCCTCTGCCAATGGGTACATGCTATGAAGGTGAGGCGCTACAGTTGTCTCTCCCTTTCCGTCTCTGGTGTAATTCGCTTGTGACGCAGGTATATGCAGAGGTGTTCCGAGAGGTGGAGCCGAAGCGGCTGAAGCTGCATCGTGCAGCTGAGACACTCCAATCTAAGCAGAGGCAGCTCGCTGAGGCTATGGAGAAACTGCGGATTGTCCAGGAGACTCTGGCTGGCCTCAAGAATCAATTCGACGAGAGTAATGATGCCAAGGAGACTCTAACGAAGCAGGTATGGCATTGTCGCTGTGAATGAGCTGACTTGATATGCCTAGGCGGAAGATCTGAAGTCGAAACTGGACCGAGCTGAGAAGCTCGTGTCTGGTTTGGCTGGTGAGAAGGATCGATGGGAAGTCAGTCTCGAGGACTATGATCAGCGAATCGGTCATCTCGTCGGAGATTGTTTGGTAGGCTGCTACTGCCTGCTGCTCCCACTTGGTTGACGAGGATGTTGGGCTCAGGTTGCCGCTGCTTTCCAGAGCTACGCCGGGCCCTTCGGATCGGCTATGAGGGACGACTTGGTCCAGGATAAGTGGATGCCGATGGTCCAGGAGTTGGCGATACCCTTTTCGGACGATTTCGACTTCCAAGACTTCATGGCTGACCCGGCGGAAGTGAGAACATGGAACCTGCAGGTGAGGGCCGAGGGGAATCTCCATTATGTATAGCTCCATCATGTAGGGGCTACCGACTGATCGATTTTCGACGGAGAATGGAGTGTTGGTGACGAAGTCCCGACGGTGGCCTTTGATGGTGGACCCGCAGAACCAAGCGAACCGATGGATCCGAGACATGGAGAGCCAGAATGACCTGAAGATATTCGATCCGAATACAGCGAACTTTATGCGAACCATAGAGCGAGCGATTGAGTATGGGAAGCCCTGCTTGATGGAGAACGTGGGTGAGGATCTGGACCCATCGCTCGAGCCGGTCCTGGCCAAAAACATCATCAACACTGGAGGAAGTCTGAGCATCCAAATCGGCGAATCCACGCTGTTCTATAATGCGGACTTCAAGTTCTACCTGACTACAAAGCTGGGGAATCCTCATTACACTCCGGAGGTCTCTACAAAGACTACTATAGTCAACTTCGTTGTTGTTGAGGAGGGGCTGTCGAGCCAGTTGCTCGGTGTCGTTGTGAAGAAGGAAGAGCCGCAGTTGGAGCAGCAGAAAGGAGACCTGGTCGTTCGGGTAAGCCCGGCGATGTTGGTCGTACGGAGGAGTGGGCGTTCCTTCAGGTTTCAAAGGGCAAGAATCGTCTGGTTGAGCTAGAGAATGAGATCCTCCGCTTGTTGTCTGAGAGCAAGGGTTCACTACTTGATGATCTCAATCTGGTGAATACTCTTAACGAGTCGAAGACCATCAGCGAGGCTGTCACTGAGCAGGCAAGCGGTCGTCTAGATTTCTCAATGTCTCTTTGGGGTGAGTCTCTCTGTAGGTGGAAGATGCTGAGAAAACCATGATGCAAATTGACAGCGCTCGAGAGAACTACAAGTCATGTGGCGATCGTGCTGCAACGCTGTTCTTCGTCCTCAATGACTTGGTCACGGTGGACCCCATGTACCAGGTCGGTCGGTTTGTGGTTGTCATCCACAGTGTATGCGGATCATGTGGTAGTTTGCCTTGGAGCCCTACATCAAGCTCTTCCAAACGAGTATTGACAAATCTTCGGAGCAGCATCCGATGACGTGTGGAGTGGACGAGCGTGTCGAGGTACCCGGTGGTGTACACAGGATCATAGAGGGCTTTGATGCAGCGGCTTTAGGTTCTCAATAATTACCATACGTTGGCAGTCTACCGGTTCGCCTCTCGAGCGCTATTCGAGAGGCACAAGCTTCTCCTGTCATTGCAAATAACGACTCGCATTCTGGCCAGCAAGGATGAACTTTCTGCTAACGAGTTCAGCTTCTTCCTTCGAGGTGGCCAGACGTTGGACAGGTCAACTCAGGTAGGGGAGTATTCTGCTTGTGTGGTGCAGTCGCTGTGTCAGGCTGCTAACCCATCACCGGATTGGATCAGTCCGGTGTGCTGGGATAACATCACATCTCTGGCAGTAGCCTCTCCAGACGCGTTCACGGGCTTCCAGGCATCACTCGAGCAAGGGCTGCGGGAGTGGAAACGCTGGTCGGTCGCTGCTCGACGATGCTGATAGTAGTCCTCACAGGTATATGGCCTCCGAGCCGGAGAATGAGCCTCTCCCTGGCGAGTGGGAGTCTAGACTAGATCCTTTGCAGAAGCTCGTGCTGGTACGTGCTATGCGGACTGATAGAGTCCTCCCTGCAGTTGGGAAGTTTGTGACGGCCAAAATGGGTTCGAGATTCGTGGAGCCGCCCAACTTCGACCTCGAAGCGATCTATGATGAAAGTGATGCCCGGATGCCGCTGGTGTTCGTTCTGAGCCCTGGCATGGACCCGACACCCCTTCTCCGCGGTCTGGCGGTCAGCAGAGACACTGAATGGAAGACGATATCACTTGGACAGGGGCAAGCCCCCAAAGCTGAGGCCATGCTCCGGCATGGGGTGGAAGCGGGCTTCTGGGTCTTCCTTGCGAACTGCCATTTGTCCGTCTCGTGGCTGCCAGCGTTAGAGAAGCTCGTGGTGCATGAACTCGAGGAGAAGACGCCACATGATATGTTCAGGCTGTGGTTGTCGTCCGACCCGACGCCCAAGTTCCCCATCGCACTCCTGCAGATGTGTATGAAGATGACAACTGAGCCTCCTAGGGGGTTGAAGGCCAACATGGCGAGGCTACTGATCAACCTGACTGAAGACCAGTTCACGCGTTGCACGCAAGCTAACGAGTATCGCAAGCTGCTATTCTCTCTGGTGTGGTTTCATGCGATTCTACTGGAGCGGAAGAAATTCAAAAATTTGGGTTGGAATGTTCCTTATGATTTCAATGATTCCGACTTTGATATTTGCGAGAACATTCTGGCCATGTATTTGGATGAGTACCCGAATGAGATACCTTGGGCGGCGATACGCTACCTTATCGCTGACGCCAATTACGGGGGGCGAGTGACTGAGTACCCTGACAATAAACTATTACGGGCATACGTCGATGAGTTCTTCTGTCCTGAGGCTATCACTTCTGCTAGCTTCTCTCTGTCGCCTTTGCCTACCTATTACATACCAGAAGAGACCACCCTCAACGGGTAGGCCCACTTGCTTGGCTTGACAATTCCAATTTCTATCAGATACCGTATGTACGTGAGGGAGTTGCCCTTCAACGAGCCGCCAGAAGCATTCGGCCAGCATGTCAATGCCGAGATCAGCTCTGCTCTAGCAGATGCAGAAACGGTAGGATCTCGAGGTCTGTTTCAGAGTCACCCTCATTGCTGCCGCTGTAGTTACTGAATACCGTCATCTCAATCCAGCCGGTTGAAGAGGCAGCCCAGGCAGATGATAGTACGGCAGCACGCGTATGCTGGCGACTAGTGATGAATTCTATTAGGCGATGCGGGGAGTAGCGGCACGAAGGACGATGTGGTCATGAAAGTGTGTGATAATCTGCTGGAGAAACTCCCGGAGGACATCGACTTTGACGATATAGCAAGCCGCAATGAAGGGGACAGTAGCCCTTTGAAGATAGTCCTCCTTCAAGAGATAGAGAGGTCGACAGTTGCTTATGAATTTTATTGCCTTCCTGTGGTGTGCTCAGATATAATCTCCTGTTGCGGAAGGTTCGCGTGTCAATCCACGAATTGAAGAAAGGCATCGCGGGCTTTGTCGTGATATCGGAGGAACAAGAATCTGTGATGCAGTCGCTCTCTGAGGGGAAAGTAAGCACTCGGTTCCGTGCTATGCGAGGGAGTTGTTGTGCTGTATCCCCATCGAATATGACTGTTGCAGGTCCCGAATGCCTGGCACAGCGCGTATCCGTCACTGAAGCCACTCAGCGCTTGGACCGTTGATTTGATTTCTCGTGTCAGTCAACTGTCACAATGGGGTCTCCAGGAGACGCCTAAAGTCTTCTGGCTTGGTGGTCTTACTTATCCCACCGGCTTCCTGACGGCCGTATTACAGCTCTCGGCTAGAAAGAATATGGTCAGCGTCGATACGTTCTCCTTTGACTTCGTAGTCTTGCAGGTGTGCACTGAATCCACACCCGGGCTCTGACCGTATTATTCTGCATCAGGTCCATGACGACGTGACGATAACGGCGGCCCCCAAGGAGGGTGCTTATGTGTCGAAGATGATTCTGGAAGGAGCCTCATGGGACGTACAGCACAGCCATTTGGCTGAGCCAGAGCCAATGCAGTTGTTCTCGCCAATCCCCATCGTACACTTCAAACCAGTAGCGAAGAAGAAGACGTCTGAGCACGGCGTTACCCACACATACTCGTGTCCCCTATACCTGTATCCCATCAGAACAGGGACTAGGGAGAGGCCTAGCTTTATGATTTGGGTAGACCTCGAAGCTGGTGAGCATGATGCAGCTTTTTGGACGAAGAGGGGCACAGCCCTTCTACTATCCATTGCCTGATGAACTCCACATGTGGTCGTGTCAAGTCACTATGGAATATGTTGGGTTTTTGGGAGTCCCCTACACCTATCATTGAGGACGCAGTAGAACAACGTATCGCGGGCAAGTAGGCGAATGTAATGATCAGGAATCACATTTTTCCCCGGGTTGAGAGGGGTTCATGATAGACACCCATCATCGGCTCGATGGGAAACATCCATAGTTGGTAATGGTTAATTCGAAGTAGCATGAGGCATGAGAGGGGAGCATAGGGTTTGTGTACTTCCCAAGTACATACCATACATATAGTTTGTGTACTACACCACCCTTTCCTTACTCCTATGCTAGGGGTTCTTTCTGTAGGAAATGCCCAAATTTGTTCCCTGACCGAAATCCCGAAGGGGATGATTAAAATAATGGATGGTATAGTAATTAGTTCGTAACGGGTTGAGTATAGCATGACTTTATTGATGATTCATATACTAGGGCAAAACCACCTACGACGCGGAACTACCTTACTCCTTGTGAAAACTGATCGTGATCGAACACTCAATATTCATTATAGCGTCACCGCATTCATATCTATACACTATACACCACTGCACAAGCCGCTACTACATTCTCGTCCGATTAGTTGAACACATTAGAATTGTAATCTCAGAATACTTTTTCCTCTAACAATTCCCGTGGAGACACCAACTTTTCCATTTCAACCATGACACTACTCCCTGAACATCGTACTCGATGAGATTCTCATATTTTTAACAATCATGCTAGCCTTCCAAACTATGTAACGCAACAGTCTAGTATTCAACGTAGCTTTCAGCAGATTATCTATTGGGATATGAGGTAGACGCTCAATGTACCCTCATTGATCTATACAGCAACGAAGCAATAGAACAAAAGGTGGAGGTTCTTCACAGTGAGAGGTATCACCGAGCCTTCGACCATTACTACAATGCTGATGAGGAAGACGATTTGTATACATATTCAATGAGACAGCAGTATCAAATCAGCATGCGACTCTCAACCGAATCAAAGCCGGAGCTGTAGATACAACCGAGTTCGCTGCTGAGAAGATGGCAATGAAAATGAGTGGTTCAAAGTGAGCATACAAATGCTGACGCAACGGTATCGAGGAATGAGAGAGTATGACTCCATTAAGTAGTATCAATGGTTCTATGAACATAACGTGAATAACAGCATTGACCATAGCATGAATCACCACGAGAGAATACAACGTGGAATGTTGCAGCCATAACAACAGGTAAGTGATGCTACAGAGATAATGGTGGTAATAATGCTAATAGTCACACTGTAAAAAATAGTAAACCCATTTCATTAACTGTGACGGGCGGTAGGGCAAGTTGACAAGTGCTAAAGGGGCCGCAACGGTACGATTCATAGAACTCGCAGTAGCAGCCTCCAATAGCCGATGATAATAGTATTCACGTTACAATATAGTAGCGATCTCTCGATACAAAAGCTCCAACCACTTCACTAGAAACATGTATGCTGCTTTCGTCGTGGAATAATCTAGCATTGGTGGTGTCGGAGCCATCAGCAATAGTGTGAATGAACCTCATCAAATCATAATCCATCTGTAATTCATGGTCATCATGACCGTCATCATCATCATCATCGACAACGACAACTAATACGCAAATAAAACAATATCAAAGATTCAGCATGTTACAGAGATTAACTATATCGGGGAGGTAATAATACAGAGAATGACGAGTAGAGGGGGACGACAGATCTCGAGGGGAAATAGATGTGCTATCACCAAATTGAGGACTGGAGTAGTCGCCATATACTAGTAGGCGTCTCGACAAATAGAAATAGACTTGTGATATCACCATTGAACGACAGAACGACATGTGAAGCAATATGGGAACCTCGACAGTCTTCATCGCTCCACAATAGAGATGAAAGGGCCATCACAGCAGAAGTCGCGCATCTTGAGGGCGAGAACCTCCAAACTATATCCCCCCTCGAGATGTGTGCACTCGTATAGGAGGTGGCGGACCTTCATAACGCAGCAGCTTACCATTAGGACCGTTGAATCCACCAAGTCGTCCACCACTAGGACCAGATGGGTGATGCTGTCGATGCTCAAAGGAAGCCGGAGGGGGTGGCGGCACTGGCGGAGGAGGTGGTGGTGGAATTGCCGGTGGTGGTCCTCGGTAACCCACTGGTGGCATTGGAGGAGGCGGCGGAGGAGGAGGCCCCGCAGGGACACATCTTGGCTTAGCAGATGGTGGTGGCGGCGGCGGTGGAGCTCTCCCCATAGTCTTGCCCGGTGTAGCGAAGATCATTCCACTGTTATTGGCGATAGTACGTGGACCAGTAGGATCACTATTCTTAGCAGATGGAGCTATCAGCAAAAGGGCAGCTTCGAGCCTCCGACGGGAATGTAGCGAGTTGTCGATACACGCGCGAGAATCAGGAGGGTGTTCAACATTAACACTAGTAGTACCACACTTATATATAGAGCTACGCCACAGCGACTTGGAGTAGTGCTGAGCGCTGTCTTCCCCACTAGACGCCGTCATAACGCTACCACCACTCGTCCTACTCGAGCTTGTCGAACAATCCTCATCACCCGGTCTGTCGAGGTTACCGAAAAATGCGTCAACGATACGTATGGTATCACCCAGCTCATACGCAGAGTAACTGGGGCCTGCCACGGCGGGGTCTCTGCCCAGCAGTTTGATATCATAGAGCCTCGGAAAATACTCCGCCACGAGCTCGCTGAATTGACTATGATGATCCGGCAAGGGCTTCCCAGTGAGGATTTTAAGCAGAGATGCGAAGACGATACCACCAGAGCTGACCAGCCACGCAACTTCCTCTGACAAAACGATTCCACTGGACATAAGGAACTCCCCAAAAGCCTCATGCTCAATGCCTCTGTGCATGGTAGCTGCAAAATCAAGCCCGGCACCGCCAACTTCGACCGAACTGCCCAGTACTTCAACCCTGTCGGCCGCATAGAGATCAGTCAGCAAGTTGAACTTGAAATTAAGTTTCCAGCAACATCTCCCAGGACCCAGGAGTGGATGGGGTGCACAGTTCCCTCGAGCGTCGGCAAAGGAAAAGCATACTTGTACTATCTTCACAAGATCCACATTTGCCTTCATGAACCGGTAGTTGTACTCGTCTGTATTCTCGAAAGGACCTGAATTGCGAAAGAGATGGTATGGCTCTCTAAGAATATCTCCACGACTACGCCACAAGTGCGACCATAGAATTCCTTCCAACCCCCCTCCCCTACGTACCAGTTGGTCTCGCAACGATCCCAGGCAGTCTGACGTCCATCGCTATGTAAGGATACTTCTCCACCACGTTACGCATGATTTCAGCTTCCTCCTCAAAATTATAAGCCCAGACGTCCACAACTTGAGGCTTATCTCGGCTACTACACCCATCGCCTCCACCGCCCCCCGGATCCCCCACAGGGCACTCAGGGCAGTTGGGTGCCCCCAAGGAAACAGCGCTCAACACGCGAGCTGCTTGTTGGTTGTAGTCCAAATATCTCATTAGCAGCGCAGAGGGACGCAAAGGCAATAAAGGACACTAGCAAGGGAAGGGTTTGTATTTAGTTCAGGTGCACGATTCCAACGTCGCTGTCGCACGCCGGTGCAACTTGCAATCTTGCGTACACTATCAATTCCTCAACGAGGGGTACGTACTGCGCGACGTCACCTGGAGTCGGCCCTTCTTATTCGGTGCTACTACTGCTACCTCTCGTCCGACTATGCGAGATGACGCTCAACTGAGTGTCTGACAGGTTACCTACGGTGACGGCTGCAGATATTTCAGATCGATATTAATGACATCTTGGTGACGAGGAGTCAGCCTCCACAGTGCTGCAAAATATGCTTGCTTGCCTCAGCTGAGCTCAAAAATTTCATCAGCAGTTTGTGTACGAGTCGGGAGAAAAGTGTATAGAAACTGACCAAATTTCCTCAGAGTTTTGTTATTGTCACCAACACATGTGGTTGATTATACGCAAATTTTACCACACTGGCCTCGCATGACGCTATCATGAGATACCCCTGTTGTTGGGGTTTCAATGACTGCCGCTACTACGGTCCATACCGTTTCTCATGTAACATTCACCAAACTATTACTCTGCACAGTATACTCAACAGTTGAGTTCTAAAGGTAGTGTTAGACACAAGACTTCTCAATGGAAGAGATCTCAAACGTTACACGTCCTCCGCACGAACACTCGTGGACTTGTAATTTTTTATCCCGAGTCGGTCCGGAAGGCATGGATATTCTTCAGCCTCTAGCCGGGGGGTACTGACAACTGGACTACTGAAGTTCACAATCCTCATCGTTTAGAGGAGACATTCAAGCGCGCAGGGAGCCTTGTCGACGCCTCGTGGCATTGCTGGACACACTGGGCAAATTATTGACGACCTCGCTGGATGAGTGAGCTACTGTGATGGGAGCTGTGGTTATCTCCTCTGCTGAGGTTCGATGCGATGAAGCAGAAGAGTGGTATCGAAATCATGCGTGTGCCTCAAGTGATAGGACCCCTCTTTCGGCGACGACAAAGAGATCGTTGCAGTTACACGAGTTTAAACAGATCGAAAAGATACTCCTTGAGGAGCTACTGACGGCTACGACAGTCGAGGAGGTGAACCTTGCATGGCCTACTTCACGACGATGCCTTACAGGCCCGATCCACGCTGATAGAGACAGAGAGATCATTAAGGCGATGGGAAGCCGTCACGAAGGCTGACGATCTGTGGACACTGTTGGTGATCCTCAAACTCGTGTCATTCGTGGCATACATCAGCCTATTGACGGGAGATAGCAGGGAAGCGAACGACACTCTTATTGCAGGGGGAGGTCCTCCTCATCCTCAGTCCACAGCGGATCTAGGGGTTAGGGGAGGGGAACCCACGAGATGTGAGCTTAGAGCTGTTGAGGTATTTTCAGTGAAGCCCATCAGACCACGATCATGGTATCATGCAGTGTGCGAGAAGATTCCTCAAAGACAACCCATATCTGTGCGCTGTGGTGGACACTGAGCTGGGAGGCTCTGGTGTCTTCCTCAACGGCGAGTAACTCACAACGACCGTTCACCTTCTTCCAATGGTTTCAGGCCGCTGGACCAGGCCCCATGGGGATCCGCTCTCGGAGACGACTCCACAATACTTCGAAGGTCGTTACTCGCCGAATTATCTTTTTCCATGTAAGTACCTCCTACGCGGCACACGATAGATCCCAAAGATCTCTGAGTTCAGCTTAATAGTGACGAGACTCCTTCCTAATGACGTCCGCTGGAGAGAGCTACACGTCCGGCACAGCTCTTTGAAGGGGTGGGCTCGTCGGACCAGGTTTCAACGATTCCGTAGGCCAGGGCCCTCCCTTGGTGGGAACTACCAAAGATATGCCTTCATCGAAACGGGATACACACTCGAATAGACCAGACGCCAGCACAGAAAGGGCCAGCCTTCGCTCGGGGGTTCCTGTGAGGACAGCCCTGCAAGCCCTTGGAGTGTTATGGCTTTGCAGATCCTTCGAGATCGAGGTGAAGCAAAATGTGAAGCCCTTCCCATGGCTAACAGATGAAGACTTTGATGCCTTCGTAAACGGTGAGAGACTTCATGGTGGCTCCAGTCGACAGGAAGTGCACGGGAGGCTCACATAGCTGCTGAGAGGTCCATGCTTAGATGCGGAAACCGGGGCTCGGCTGTCTGGCGGCATCACATGTCCGTGTCACAGGCTTGATGAATCTACGAATAACTGCCGATAGTGTATGCAACGCCGTCAAGCTGAAGATATGTTCCTCATATGGTGTAGATGCTAATCCCTGGGATGGTCGAGGAGATGATCACACTGTGTCGGGATCTCACTTGGCTAGACTTGTCGGCCTGTGATTTGGAGGAAGCCAGGTTGCTCACGATTTGCTCAGCCATATCACATGGGAAATTACAAGTTCCCCCGGCTATCAGGATGTGGCTCGTCGATATCACATGTTAGGTGGTGGACTTCTCCAAAAATAAGTTAGATGACGCTTGCTGCCCTATATTATGTTCATTGACGGAGAAGCTCCTGGGGACTCTACGGGCCCTAGACTTATCGTATAATACAGGGCTTACTGCCGTCACTGCTACCGCACTCGCTAAGTGTGTCCAACGGACAGGGGGAAGCAAGCCTTCTCCTGTTGACCCCCGAGGGAGGGCTCGTCCGGGTTCTAACAGTATTGGATGGAAACCCCCTGGGTCGCTGGAGTTCATAGACTTCACGGGCTGCAGTGTCGAGGGAGAGGTCCTCGAGGCGGGGCTCAATGAGGTGACTAGGGTGGCTCAGCCAAGCCACTCCCCTGCCAGCCCAACGTGTTAAGGTCATGGTTCAAAGCTCCCCTACAGGGAGGCAGACTGCTTATCGCCGAGATAATATCGACGTGAAATCAGCGGTGTATCCTGTAAAGGTGAATGAGTCCTCCTATGGGACTGCTGTAGATAGCTTTAGGTTTCTATTGAGAAGATCCACTCACACATACAAGAGGTGTTCGCGGATGAGGAACCGGTACGGTGAGTTTCAATCGCTTCCTTTGTAACGTCCCTGTCAGGCCTCTGAGACGCCGACCACCACAAGGCGTCGTTTGTTATTACTACGTTGCACTGCTGAGCGACATCCACTTCTCCAAGTGTATGAAGGCGATGGCATGACCATGTGATGATAGTCTATTATCATTGTAACGCATTGTCTCTAGGAGTTCTTTCAAGTGCCCCGAATATTCGATGAGATTGTGTTAAACTCGGATACGAATCACTTATACCGAGGAGCATTCCTTTCGAATGGTGTACACCTATCGAGCGCACACCGTACGTACGGCTTTGGATTACTCAATCGCCGATGGCGTCTCTTACCTCCGTGTCACCGCACCCGTAACGTGATGTGGGTATCTAGTGTCTCTTCTCGAACTGCCTTAAGCTAGCCATTTCGGCCTCCTTTCTCGGGTGGTTATGATCATCAAGTTGTTCATGACAGTCTGATGATAGCATCACTACTCTCTCCATACTCTCCCCATGCACTGAGGCGCGTCCTGGTGACTAGGATAACGCAACGCCCATCGGCAGTAGAGACATACGATTCGCAAATGAGAAATGAGATGGTAATTATGATGATTCCTGCTGCTGTTGTTGTAGATAGCGACGGAAGACCACCATGCTGTCCGGAACGACCTCCGAAGTATCCATCGCCATAATCTGAACAACGCACGTGGCGATCACCTACCGATTACTGTTCGCTTTACTTCATCTTCAGTCATCAACTTGCACTGTTTCACCTCGCACTCCTGCAGTTTGAGAGACTCCACCGGCAGGTCGGTCTCACACAAGAAGACATGACCAAAAACGCGTAGAGGTGCTGAAACAGGCGAGCTCATTTTGAATACCCCCCTCACACGACCACGTACCTTCATGAGAAACCTGAACAAAGAGCTTCTTAAAGTCGCCTTCCGCGATGTCGATGCCCATCTCCTCCTTGAGCTCTCGATGAGCATTCACCTCAGGGGTCTCTCCAACACCCATAGTACCACCAGGAACGGGATCCTGAGTTGGTGTACGAGTCATCAACAACAGCGTGGCATGTCGAATACCCATCGTCCCGGCATATAGTCCTTGATATCAGTTCGCTGCTGGACATAGTATTTACCAGTGGGTTTATTACGAATGACCAGATAGGTGCATCTAAACGACTTGTGGTAGGTAATGGTCCCTGCTACCACTCACGCATGATAGAGCGTCCTTCTTCTCATCTCACATCGCACTACTGCACCGATACACTGACCTTCGGGAGAGTATACTGGCACGACCTCATCTAAGAGGTATGGTAAACACTCATGCTTCTTTACAGTAGCTCTATCTACCTGCATTCAAGGCGTTGTTGTTGTGCGTGAATGGCCGGCCCATCTCCTTATGCAGGTTAATCCACCAAGTGATAATAGCGTCTCTCGGAGCGGGCACTTTCAGCACCTATCCATATCAGCGTCCTCTCAAAATACGTAAACCCATTCAGATTTATCAAGCTGCCGTTGGTACTTCCTACTATCACCGACCACCATATGGTACCTTAGTGCCCGGACATACCTCCTCAGACTGACAACAACGGGGACATTTTGCACAATCACCAAACCGCAGTGTCTGAGGGATGGCAACATCCAGCCGAGAGAATAAGACTGGCAAGCTCACATGAGTGATATCCCTATCGCCAGTGGTCCTCTGTACTTGGTCTTGGTACACCAAAGCGACTCGACTGACCATCCAGTTGTTCTCACCGAGTTCCTTCTGGAGCTCAAAGTCCTTCTGCTCCTTGGCCTGCCCATGGACGATGGACGGCTCGCTACGTGTGGTGACGTGTCTACCTGTAACTCATCGAGCCATCTATCACCAGTAGCAGTGAGGTCTATTGCTCCCAACTCCACCAGCTCGTCCAACACTCCACGAACACCCGACTTTGGTATACAGCTACAGGCATGCACGTTTACAACGTGGATACGACAGAATGTTATCGGCATAACAAAGAGGATACGAAAACTGTTACAACACTGGTTGGAAAAGTTATTCCTTCACCACGCCCAAAGTGTCCTGTCAAGATTGTCGAACCACACAAGTGTCTTCATAAAAAAAACAAAGGCGGACCCCAAAAATGTAACGAGGATAGATTTCTACTCGATGACTACGAGACTACTCATCCCTCGCTGGGTTACATACCATACAACGCCAGAGGACGGTGTTTCGGGTTATGATGGGTCAACGACTACTATCATCATCATAGCTCTGCTGCGTTCGTATGAGCTGCAAGTTGCCGATTCGAAAAGTCAGTCGCCCTTTAAGTGAGTACATACTGCTGTCATATCAAACGGTACAGCATGCTAGGGCTACTCTGAGCGACAAGTAGAGTCACAAGCTGCCGTACACATAACAGTTCATAACTGCTACGGAGTAACACTGCAATAACTCTTCCTATCTCAGCCTTTCTTATGCTGTCTACCACGAAGGGATGAATGACGAGGATCAGGTAAGCCGTATACTCGATGGAGGATTGATGACATGGCGTACGAATGCTGCGGTTGAGTCCCGAGTGGCACCAATGAGGGTTTCTTCTAGAGGCTTCTATAAGCCACAACCAAAAGCGCATTAGAAGTCGTTCGGCGGACCGCCCAACTACTCACCAAAGAGCATCTGCAAGTTAAATCCACAAAGGAAGTAACATCGGAGACTCCCTGGCATTCTGAACATTACAAACATCCATGACGTCATCATATGTTAACCGGATCCTGCTAGTCAATTACAAGTAGGTCACGAGAGTAAGGGAGGCATTGACGAGATGAACTGTTCACAGCAAACGGCCCTGCTGCCCTCCAAGGTAGTAGTACCCCACCACTATAAACCAAAGCCGTCCAATGTTGGTGATACTGCCTAAAGCCTCGAATGCCAAGGGAAACCGTAAGCGATATAAAATTTCAATAAGTTCGTAATACTAGCAGTAGTAGTCGATGCAAAGTGCGATGATATCGATGAATTGATGATGATCAGATAGGAGTAGTGGTAGTATTCATACTTGCAACGTTATAGCAGTAGTGTGGTAACGACAACGACGACGACGACAACCACGAAAATCAAGCCTGTCTTATTGAAGTGAAAACAGTATGAATTGCAAATGGTATTGAGTAGAACGGCACTTCCACTGTACTGACTATTACCACCACTACTGCTCTAGACATCAATCAAAGACTATCCAACGATATGATTAACATACCAACTGAACCGACAACTAGGACCGACTATCACTGCTCATGTAATAGTAGTAGCAACGTATAAGCAGATTGATGTTGACGAAAGAATGGCGATATCGTTTTCTCAACGATGGACAAACCTCGACTATCACAGTGATAATGGGTGCTCCACACAAATTCAATGTAAGAGGTCAATCCGACTTCTTAGTGTTACCGACCTTCTTAGGCGCCATATAACGTCCAACGAAGAACTGTACGAAGAGAAGCATATAAGCTGTATACCTGCACAGATGGAGTGGAGATGAATAAGCGGCAATGCTATTCAGGGACTCACATCAAGAAGGCAACAACGAGATCCTCGTAAGCACCGTCACAATTGGGAACATGAGAGATGGAGTAGTAATGTACTGCTACCACAAACATACCTGAAGAGAAGATAAAAACCAGGAGGTAAACCCCAAAGGCTCACCAGCAAACATTTGAGAGATCTGTAAGATGGTAACGGTGAGGCCCCACCTAGGCTTATGACCAACTGATGATAGGAAGTAGTAGAAATACATAATAGAATGGACCATATAGTTCATAGTAGCGAAGAAGATACCGGTAGGCTGTTCATAGGCTCCTGCATGCCAACAGTAGAGCAATACAGTAGCATGATGGAACCAATGAAGGAAGTTAACATTCCTCTTCCTCAACACCAAGAAGGCAGTATCAACAAGCTCAACATATTTGCTGTACATGAACAGGCTTATCCACAAGCCACAAGGCCCCCTGCCATACGAATCACTAGCATTACGACATACAAAGTAAAGGGGACCATTGTACCACGTACCAGCCAACAACAATGGGAGAGTTCTAGTGACACCAATAAAGGAGAATACAGCGAGGAAGAGGTTCCACATGGCAAGCGGCTTCTTTAATTTCAACGTTTGACGATTCTTCATCATACGCTGACCCACCAGAATTCCGAGGAGGTAAAAGGCGACTACCACCCAAGAAGCCCACCAGTATTCACGCATAATTTGAGTCTGAAAAAAGATATCATCAACAACTGATGAGGAATTCCTTCATTACGGTAAACTTCATCTTCTCTGGCGACCAGTTTTCCAAATCGGTCGGGAATAGTATGTTGGTAAGCCACGCAGGTGTAACATCCTGGTAAGTGAGGTCCTTAAAACCATAGAGGGTAGTGTCCAATATCGATGGTTTCATCCAAATGTCGTTCCAATGGTTCACTCGATCATCCTGCATAAGGTTGTCGGCTGGGAAGTTCATCATGCAGTGGTGGGACGAAGGAAGGACTAATGGAGCGGCTCTTTCAATACTACTGGGCTCTACATCTCCGCAATCGAGTAAAGGAGGTGACTCGAGTCGGCAACACTGAAGTGCCGTCAAGAACAGTATTAGTGTTCACCGTCACAGTAGATGATAAGTGAGGTTTGCCATTTCCGAGGGGTGACACTTCGGCCCTACCAGTGGGGTAACGCCATCTCGAACGATTGCATCACCAACACGCATTAAATACGACTAACGAATGGGGTACACTACACTGGCTTCAGCCGTCGATGAAAGGCCGACTGCTGCGTTGTTGCTATTTGGTGATGAATTTCGTGGCGCGCGACAACTCAAGAGAATGCTAACTTGACACTCAAGGGACTGTATAAAACTATGCATAATAGTAGCTAACTCGCGGGGGTATCATTGAGGGGGCATCACGATGCCGACATAACATTCACCAACCTGAAAAACACCAGACGTGTACGACAACACAGCCTATACACAGCCTATAAAGTCGAAGATTGAACACAGGCATAGCTTTCATGCAAGAGGTCCCCGGATCGAATCCCGGAGAAGACATTTTCGAGAGACGGAGGCAGTTCGCACCAGTCTAAACCTTCTTTGATGCCATCACCTCGTACAGCACTGGCTTGATGTATCGCCCATTGGCGAGATCTGAAAATCGACCATCTAGACTGTCAAGAATCTTCCACAGAGCTGCCCTACCTAATTTGAGTGAGCCCAAGGCCCTCAGAGACTTCCACGCTGGTCATGGCGTTCGGCAAATCCTGCTTATTAGCAAATACCAGTAAGGCGACACCCTTGAGCTCCTCTTCTTCAAGCAAATTGCTCAATTCCCGCCGAGCATCTTCTAATCTGTCTCGATCTGAATTTAAAAATCGACGACTAAGTGGTCTTGTAAGTCCTCACCAGCCGAGTCCACCACGTAAACGATACCGTTGGTGTTGGGGTAATAACACCGCCAATAGGGCCGAATGCTGCTCTGGCCACCTACCAAAAAACAGCTGCAGGCACCACAGGCATATGATATGACTCACCCAAGTCCCACACCTGTAGCTTCACATTTTTCACTTGTATCGTCTCTACGTTGAAGCCGATGGTTGGTATGGTCTCTACGACATCATCCACTTGAAGCCGATCTGAGAACGGGAATAAATCGTCACAATGAATAGTCTGAAACCTCCTTAAACTGTCAATGAACAGACGACTGAATCAGCCGATGATCGATCAAGGCGAACGGGAGGCTGTGCCGAGCTAGATTGAAACTCGGGGAGGGGAGTTCGAGTACGTACACAATATCGTCGTTTTGCCTGCATTGTCCAGACCTAGGATGAGTATTCGAACCTCCTTGGAGCCGAAAAGTCCTCCGAAAAGTGTCGAGAAGAGGACACCCATAGCGATAGAGAAAAACACACTGCGCCGAGATGAGCTGACCATGGGCCTTGGAAATGATTAAATGTCGCCTCAAGACACTCGAACCATGGGTCGACGGAAAAAGATAAAGTCGAGCGTCCCCAGGACTGCCACTCCCTTTTCAGAGGCCACTTCTCGCTGAGGTATAACCATCCTATAAGAGCACTCTAGCGAGACCAGTATCAAGACTTCCATCTCCTCGACCAAGCTTGCGCTAGAGCTCTAGGTCTCGCTGTCTATGAACCCCACAACATCAGGGGTTTCATAAACAGGGTAACGCCTTCTGATCTACTGCCACTAGCTTGAACTGATAAACGAATATACAAAACCAAAAGCTGAGCATGAAATGCCAAGGAACAAAGACGCTAGATATGAGTGGAACGACCATGGCCCTCTCGGTTGACAAAAACATCATCTATAGGATGAAAAGCACTTTACATCCCTGGTAGGTTGTTCTCGATTGAAGCTGCCCTCTCTCTCCCGCACTGAATAACGCCACAGCACCCAACGATGGAAAGGAAGTTCCACAATGAAGACGGATATTTCGTGCCACATGAGACTTTTTCGCCCAACCCTGGTCGACCTAATGCTGTTGAAAGGAGCTCTGACGTGTATTCTTTGGAAGCTGGAGAATCCACACCAGTCCAACGCCAGCTATGGCATATCTGCCCCAGGTTATTATACACAGCGAAATTTAAGCCGGTAATTAGGCGGAATTCGACTTATACCGGTCGTGCCGGTGATATTGATCATCCCACCGCGTGCTCTTACGAAAGTGATGGACTGCAGCGTATCTTGGAGCTGTGGCATAGCCGCCCCATCCGATGGGTCTGATCTCATCAACAGCCTGAAAGGCCATAACGAGACAGTAATGGTAATCCTCCATAATCGCCCGTTCCTTTCACTACCTTTACCACAACGGCTATAGCGGTCCTCAGCGATGAGAGGAGGATCGGCTTCAACAGAGCAGGCTGCTACACCAGAAGCAAGGCCAGGTTCCCTCCGTAGTAGGCATAACAGTAGAGTCTGCTGTGTCGCAGTTGGGTAACCAATGATACATTCTCCCCATCCAAGTTTAGTATCCGCGCTGGTAAGCGAGACGCCTTCCGCGGAGAGTTGCGTTCCGAGCCTACGCCATGGCACAGGATATTGCAGTCCAATACCCACACAACAACCACCGCCCTTTCTCCTCCAACCGGGACTAGGCCCCATGTATTACATACAACTACCGATCCACACCGAGGAAATTCACGAATACGACAGTGTATTAATGCGAGGTACCCCATATTTTAACCAGCACTAGTATCATAGTGAAGCACTCTGTATCACATCCACGCCACCACAATAAACCGAGCATGTACTGATGCCTTAAACCCAAATACTACTGTTAAAGCATCTACTAGCTCCACCAAGGAGCAAAAAAGTAAAAGAAAAGTTGAAGAGAGCATAGCACTCCTACTCGGATGAGCCCCATCCATAACTAACAACCTAGAGGGCCCATCTCTCTACCCAACAAGACCGCTGAATCAGAGGAAGTGCACACTAGCGTCCTGTTATCGAACTAACTGCCCTGATTTCACCACTCGACCCCTGGCTGGTGCGACACAACCAAATGCACTAGACTCCACAATCAACGCAACAACTGAGTCATTAACCCGGGAGCGATAACAGGAGGATTACTCAACACCGAACTGGGTATGAGACCGACAGAGCCACTAGACTTAGCACCGGGATTTTAACTGAAGAACGAGATGATGCTTCACCCCTCTACCCTCGTAGCACTGGGATGGTCAAAAAGTATCACGTTAAAAATTCTGCAGACTCGAGCCAGTTTTGGGGAATAGAGAGACGAACAAGATCAACGATAGGCTACTCCCCTGTTCACCGAGCAGTTACAGTAGACAGGAGTGTTGGGCAGACGGTCGCAGTCGGGATTACGCGGACTGGAGAGACAGATTTCAAGAGGGCCTTTCTTGGGAGGGTTGACGTAGTACATATCCCTGCATCTTTGAGGGAAGATATTGCAACGGCAACCCACTCTGGTCTGGCCAGTCTTAGTGCAAAGACCATCCGCAGCGAAGTCGCAGAACGTCAGGCAATCCAATGGAACGATAACCTCATCGCCATTACGACTGCCCATCGTACCAAATACGACGATGCCCAGCAGAATACAGAAGCGGTGAATCATAGTCTTCATGAAGTAGTAAGAGTCGGTACTACCAAGTAGCTGCTGCGATCTGCCTAGCACGCATGAACACCCTTCACGCGCAAGCTCGGGGAGCCGCCGGCAAGCTGACACACTGCTTACAGCCCCCTTCGCATCTGATTCCAACGGGTTGCTCGAAAGAATACGAAAACCACGAGTTATATGGTAACCATATTATCGTAACGATATGGCGGTCTCGGTGGTATCGACTATGATGAACCAACAAATAGGCAACGTGAATTATGGTACGTGAATATTCACGTAAATTTAGGCCAGGAACTGTGCGTGCGTGAGGGGCTGCTCCGACAGCGCCCTCCAGGATGGACCTCTCTGAGCGTAGATGGAAACTCCGTCATGAAGTCGTAGCTTTTTCTCGTGATACTGCTAGTGTACTCAGATTGTACCAGAGTGTACCAGTTAATTCTAAACTGATGTCTCATAGAAGGCTGTTCCATTGTGTTGTTGTCTCCCTAGTGGGAAGGAACATCCAGCCTTCCCCGTGGTTCCTCTTCACTCCACCACAGCTTATCCAATAGATAGTATCAGGCCTATCCCGAACTCACACAACTCGAGAGAGCATTCATACTAGTCCGGCAATCCTCACTACTCAATGAGGGTCCCTCGCCGATGTACTTCGATCCTGAGCAGAGTTAGCATTGGTGTACATGCTACACCAAGAGGAGTTAATGCTTATGCCATTGCCTATAGGCTCTATCGACACACAGGACAAGGCTTAGTAAGCATAAGCATGTTGTCGTCTTGACATACTTCTACCTCCCAAGTAGAAGCTACCTGCTACCCGACCACCTCAGACGACTTCATAGCACAACTCTCCATGCAGCGTTATTTTCCTTGGGAGATAACTCTGAGGCTGAGTGCACTCCGAATATAGGTATTCTCCATACGACGTCGTCGAACATCATGAGCTCATTTCATTCATGGGATAATTCCAAAGGCTGTGCCCTGATATCTGTACAGACTTATCTACAGCGAACATCATTGTTGGTCTCGTCTGCATTATCATCACCATACCCATACCATAGTTACTCCCTTGTCCATCACGAGCTCAATGATCCTATAGTTTAATCGCACTGAGAGCAATTCCCCTCTGGTTCCGTCCTACCCTACCAGAGGTGACTGATATGGTGACAAGCCCTCACTGGTGAGCCCGTCTAGTATCACACTTTATCCTTTCCTTGCATTACCTTACCTACGCCGCTTTCAAATTGAAAGCTTCAACACTAAGAGCCGAGCTGATGCTGCCGCTGTTGTCCTCAACAATGCTAAACTAAAATAGAATCAAATACTGTTCCTTTCGCATCGCCTTACAGACATTAAGCTTCCCAACTGAGCGCAACATACCATCACACTAGGACAGCGGTCAATAGACCAGGAGCCAATAACATGTCGCCAACATGAATCTTCCTACTGCGTACGGAGGGATCTCTGCTGCCTCTTCCCATTCCCAATCGCATCCGTCTTTCTCGTCAACTCCTCCGTACTCGAATAAGGCATTACGCCAGGATTCAAAACAGGTCCCCCCATAGGCGTTGGAGTAGACGGAGGGATGGTAACAACACCAGCAGTGTCATCAGTGCCTTCAGCTGTTATACACAGTGTGTCCAATACCCCTTCCCACGTAGCCTTCTTAGAACCATCAAACCAGAACTTCTTCTGTTTCCTACGACGGACATCCTCAGCGTGCGCTAGAGCGGCATCCAATATATCCTTGCAGTTGACCATGTTCGCAGCTTCCGGTGGCGTGAACAACTGGATCAGGTCTTGTGAACGGGAGAGATACGCCCGAGTGAACCTGAACATTGCGACTCAGTGTTGGAGTATACGTTCGGTTCCCTCAGCCAAGCTCAGGAGTTTCCTTACTAATTATAAGAGTTTATATACGAATTCGGTTGGAAAAGTGCAGAAATCAATGAGAATTCCCCAAAATTTCCTCAGAATTTCCATATATCCCCAACGTATGTGGCTGGCCATATGCATATACTACCCCATGAGCCTACGCTTTCCCCTGGCCACATGAGAAGGAGTCCAGCTCAAACGGCCCGTGATCAGGATCATCATTCTGCCTCTTGATTGATATAAACCTGTCATGTCCGATATCCTCAGTGCACGTACCGGTATCCGCCGGCAGATCACATCCCCACAGTGCGACTGATACCACAGCCAAGACCGGTGCTACGATGAATAGCATCCTATATTCAGCACAGGTCATAAGGGGCCTTCAGAGAGAACTGAAGGCACTCCCCTCGTGTTATCAACACAGAGCTGAGACAGTCACTTGGGAGTAAATGTGCATTGGCGAATCAACGTGTAAGGGGCTGTGGGGAGCTCCTGGTCATATCTGGCCGGCCTGAGGACAACCCTTGGAATTACATATCAACGCATGCACACGGCGCCTACATCGACGACTTTAACTACCTCCTGGCCAGATCGATCCCCTAGTAGGGAATCTGAAACGGCTATCGAGCTCATAGGAGTGACCGCTGACACTACTTGATATAAAGCCATCTTTTAATGGTAGAAAGGTTCCAAGGAACATAGACACCGCAAAGACAATACCAATGGCGATGAATAGACCTGATAAAAGTAAAGCGACGGACTTCCGTATCCGAACACATACACCCTGGCGAGGAAAACAACAACAACGACAACAACAACAACCACAACAACAACAATATTAACAGAAAAAACAACAACAACAACGACAACAATAACAACGACAACAACAATAATAACAGAAACAAGAAGAGCAGAAACAAAAACAACAACATCAACAAGGATAACAGAAACAACAACAAGAACACTGTCCTTATTCCTCACTAGAACCAGTGTGAGTTCAAAGGGAGCTCCCAAACGGTAACGTATTCAAGCCCTACTACATCTGAGCATAGCCGTACGTGATTCCTCATCTCTCCTCCGCTTCATAGCCGCTAACTTGGACTGGTCAGATGCCGCTCGAATGAACTGCATTACAATACCGATGTGATCGTCTACAACAGAATTGTCAAAAATTGGACGACGAAACACTGAAACCACACTCTTGGGAACTTTAGTTCAATTCACAGACACCCTATTGGGAACTCTACAAATCCACACATACAGAAACTGTGTAGCCCATGACACGTCAGAAGGAGTCGAAGTTCTCCAGCAGCCGTCTGAATATACATTATTATGACTTCATCTATGTCCTTGCTTAGAGGCCTACCTCGTGACGGGCGATGCTGGTGGTATATACCGTTTCTTGAACACATTACGAGGGTAAGGCGCGGCATTCCTCTTCATCCTAGTATCCAACCGCATGGCTGAGCGATGACTTTAATGTCCCCCCCCCCTACGGCAGAGCCTGGTACTACCCTTTTCCCTGGGCCTCAGTGCGAGTATAGCCCAAGATATAGCCAGCGCTGCTCCCGTCGACTGCAGTAGTTGGGGTAGCCTAGTAAGGAGGACTGCCATTCGAAGGCAAACTACAAGTCCATAAGCCCTTCCTAGTAGACTCCGAAAGTAGGAATGTGGCAACAATAAGAGAGACGAAGACCCGCCGCCGAGCGAGTGTCTATGAGCCTCTGAAGTCAACTCTGAAGCTGACATGTATTTATGAACTGCAGTTGTCGGGTGGAAGATCATGAGCTCTAGAATCGCCTCCCAGGTTGGCTGCTGTTTGAAGCGTTCGAAGACTCCCGAGGCGCGCCAAGCCTTTCTGGTGGCCACGGGACACTCTACCGAGAATTTATGGATGAATGCGCCCTTTGATATCGTCGGGTTGAAAAGGGTGTCTGTAGCACGCAAGAACACGGCAACTGATACACTTCGAAATCTACAGGAAAAATGCCTCTACGGGGAATCGAACCTGCGTTGTCTCCAAAGAAGTAAAGACACCGAATGTCCATCATCTCTCAATAGTTTCAAGTTGACTAATGCTGGGCAGGTTATCAGGTTTACTCCAATCTAGAGTATCAACCGCATCACGTATTCAAGGCAAGTCTAAGCTACACCAGGCAGAAGCTATATGGTCTAGTGGGCCCATTGAAGTCCGGAAATCCTCTATTCAAGGTGGTGACACGTAGTGTGTCACACACTAACGTATGAGTACTTTACCTTTCCGAAATCTATTTGGCGATTAAAGCCAGTAATTTAGCGGTTAAATTAATAATATTCGCGACCAGGGATATTAATTTAGCGGTGGTATTAGGATTGAGAAATCGATTTTATGGTAAAGGAATGCAATTTCACGAACAGGGACATTCAGGAGCAATGTTCTCAAGTACAGAAAGGTCATGTAAAGATGCCTTTTAACCTTTTTTTTTGAAAAAATCATGAAAACGACAGAGACTCTGTCGAACTCTGTCACAGAGTTTTGAACGCCATTTGTGAATAGCGAGAGTGGTTTCAAAGTATTGTTATAGCGTATTTATCAAGGAGGTTGCAGTAGACCTATTTAGCCGCCATATAGATTCCGAAAAAGTATAGTGCTATACTCCCTGCTGGGTAGAGTGGTATCATCCTTTAGGCCTCGGTGTGTTCGCAAACGCTGATATCGGGAAAGGGACAGTGGTCGAGGTCTGCCCTACGCTCGGCTTCTCGAGGAAGAGTGTAGCCTCATACCACTCCTCCGCAACATCGTCATGGCCGTCGTCAGATAAGCGCAGCAGATTCAGCCGGTGTGGGTAGTAGCATTCGACTTGAGGACTACGTCTATGAGTTCCCTGGGGAGTCCTCTCACTTGCGGGACGATCGGATGTAGGCCTATGTGTTAGCAGTGCCTCGATAGAGACCTGTCAGGTTGTATCTCCCTCTAGGGTTCGGTTCCCTATACAACCACTCCGAGAAGCCCAATTTACGGTATAGTATCGAGAGGACAGTTGACGGCGAGCATGTGGTCATGGTCGTGAAAACTACTGAGGATGTGGCCGCTGGTGAGATTCGGATCATTGGTGTGCCGTAGATGAGAACAGCAATTAAGCCATATCACCAAAAATTCGTAGGGAAGTGTTATGCCCGCGTGGACTTTCTTACGAGCAGGTACGGAACTGTGCGTAACGTACGGTTACCAGTGGTGGAAGGATCGAATGCAGGAGCCTGTGAGTGGGTATAGCACGTATTCCTTCCGGAGGTCGATTATGGAAAATAATAAAAAACAAAGTGGTAGTGTGTCTGAACATGATCAATCGAATGTTTCGGCTTAAAAGAACACAATTGCTGTTTGGTTACGCCTGAGGTATGCTAACTCGTATCAATGTGAAAAGGAGTTTTCATCGATGGAGCCCAGCCGACAAGCTGCCGTTGAGGGCCCTCCTCGAGTGAGTGCTGGAGATCTGGACCATGCAGATGTCGCGCGGTCTGAGTCTTCTAAACAGAGTCCGGTTTATGACACTGGTCTATCGCAAGAGGTAGTACTACATGGGAGTGGGCGACGAACGGTGATGGTAATGTTGTAGGCCCCCAGCGGAGGCGATTCGAGTAGCGATGAGTCAGACATGATGAAGAGGACTCGACAATGGAGTAAAACGGCATGGCGTTGGTTGAGACTGCATAAGCTCGATTTCCTCAGTGGCCTCACAGTAGCATTAGCACAGGTCATAACGGGGGCATGTCTGTCGTGGCAAGGAAGGACCTCCTCGTGTTAGGTACCGGAAGCTGTGGCGTTCTCATTCGTGGCTAATGTGGACCCAGTCGTAGGGCTACAGGTAAGGGCTTGTCCTTGCTATGTTATCGAGTTCAGTGTTGGAATGTGAGCTTGGGAGTTTCCTCACTAGCTATAGAAGAAGTTTATATACGAATTTGGGTGAAAATGTATAAGGATCAATGAGAATCTGTCAAGAATTTCCCTATTGTCACCAACACATGCATTTGTCCATGTGCATATGTAGGCAGCCTGGATGATGGGAGTTATCACCTCCCTCGCTGGTGGTCGGCCGGGTCAGATCTCGGGGGCTACTGGTTCAACTGCAGTAGTAATGCCACCTATTGTGGCTAAAGGTGCTTTTATATGAGTAGTGGAGGTAGTGGTGACAGCTGTGTACTGGCCAGGTATAGGATACCTATTTTACACTGTCATGCTGGCTGGCATTATCCAAATTGTATTTGGAGTGTTTAGAGCTGGCAAGCTTCTACGAATGATATCAGCACCGGTAGTGATGACAGTCAGGGGCCGTGGGCATTGTAGGGTGGGCTTCTCGTTTAGGTGATGATTGGCTTCGTGGATGGTTTGGCAATTGTCATCTTCCTGGCGCAGTTAGAGGCATTCAAGTGGACACAGGGGAATGCGGTCGGCCCTCCAGTTGGTCGGAGGCTCACGGCGTTCGCAGTAGTTTAATCGATTGGTCATTTGATGATAACTATGGCATTAGGTCCTCACAGATGGGGAACCCTGGTTGCCTTGGGACGACATCCTTAAAATGCTCCTTCTTATAGCGATCACTATGACGGTTACTTTCGTATTGCCCAAGCTCACACGATTTCCGAGTGCTCTCACTGGTGGGTAGATGGTATAGTGTTTGCTGCCCTCAGGGGCTCTCCAGGGCCGATTGGGAAAATATGCACATGATCGAAAACATGTAGAGAAATTATTGTTGGTTTCTGTTGGTCTATGAACTTGATGATAGCGAACATATATTCCTACTCCAACGACGCTGCTCTAGGTATTGCTGTTGCTACTGGAGTGGAATGGGGTATATACAGGCAAGTTGGATGGCCGACTCGTCTCGTTGAAGATATAGCGTCTGTTAAAGTGAGATTCCCACAGGGGTGAATTTTGGAGCAGGGGTGGTATGGTGTTAGGGGTATTTCCCTATCCCTATTTGGTTTGATGATCGTTGGCAGCTGCCGAGTTTTGATGGGGAACTGCTGTCGTTCATCATTCCTCATGCCGTAGTTATCGCTCTCATAGGTAGGTCTATGGAGGATGCTTATTTGTTCATGGATTTTCATGTAGCTTTGAGAGATAGCGTCACCCAGGGGTTGATAACAATGGGGGAAAATGTTCTTTGGCCACGTCGAGAATTCAAAATGTCGAGTTCTCTCCCGGGAACATTATAGGTCCCTGGATGACTTCCTGCACATGACATTTTTCCGATAGATGAAAGCATTGCAGAAAAGGAATCTCCTCGCGCTTTTCATATACACGGTCTATATCTTCGGAATTAACCACCATTGGAGAGAGCTCGTCGAGATCTTCAGAATGGTACTTGAACTTTTGTGGTGAGGGGCTCTTTGTTTGTCGTTCGCCCTGTAGTGTGTTCATCATGAATTGTCATCAGGACTGATAGAGTCGCTTCTGACGCTAAACTTGATCGATGAGATTACTCATACGAGAGGCAACCCCAATAGGGAGTGTTGGGGTCAGGGCCTAGCACAGCTCATCACTGGTAAGACCTCACCGCTACTGGTCAGTGGGAATGGTCGTCAGGCATGTTTGGGGGCATGGGGGGATGTGCTATGATTGGGCAGTCCATGATCAATATCAAGTCTGGCGGCACTTCTCGCCTCTCTGGCTTCGTCGCGGGTATATTCACACTCTTTATACTCCTGGTGAGTTCGTCATCATGGCTTGATCCTCGCTGGATGTTGGGGAGCTGTTTTTATGGTTTTTTAATCAGTTCGTGTACCATGCCATAAATATAATCCCCATCGCGGCTCTGGTCGGCGTGATGTTTTGTGTGGTCATCCACACCTTCGAATGGTCGACCTTTGGTATGCTTGCAGCGGCTCTTATGACCAAACAGATGCGATCGTAGGATGCCCGAGGCAATGCTGGAGTTCATTGCTTGTTAGGAATAAACTGGTCCAGCGGTATATTCTGAGGGGATCTCGGAAGCTCCCACGTGGTGATGTACTGATAATAGTAGTGGTGACGGTGGTGACACTCCTCACTGACCTGGCCATTGCTGTGGGGGTCGGCGTGTGTCTGCAAGTGAGCTCTTCTGGTACGCCACTGAGTTGGGGGAATTTTGGTATTCAGGCGCTGATATTCTCGTGGCAGAGTCATAAGAGCTTGAGCGTGGTCGAGCGACCAGATATGAGCGGCGACGATCTCAAGGTTATCAGGGGGCACCAGTGTTAAGGGATATACACTCGCTTTCCTCAGCTGAGTTTCCTAACTGAGCCTACATGAGACTTTGGGTGAAAATGTTCAGAATGCAATAAGAAATTACGAGAATTTCCCATGTAGTTGACCATGTGCATTCTTTGCCAGTGTTAGGATATGCGTTTGCTTTCCTCAGCTGAGTTGAAGAGCTTCCTCACTAGTTAGGTAGAAGTGTACAGAAACCAATGAAAAAAATATCCGAAATTTTCTTAGAATTTTCATATTGTCACCAAACCATGTAGTTGACCATATGCATACTCCCCCTCCCCCCCACATTGTGCAGGTCTACGATTTGCATGGCCCTCTGTGTTTCGCCTCCGCTTCGGACTTCCTGGAGGCATTCGATGTAGCAAACGATCCCAACACGGTTGAGCTGCATTGCCAGAACGCTGACATTCATGGGTACAGCGCGATGGAGGCTATCAATACGCTGGCCGAACGGTAGGGGTCTCCTGAGTGGTGGTAGGATGGGAGATTTGGGAATGGTGTGGTAGGTACAGTCACGCCGGCAAACGTATTATTGTGAAGTCGGTGAAGAAGACGGACCATGCAGTGCTCGCTAAGGCAGGGAGTCGGGCTGGCTGTAGTAGGTGATGTTGGTGGTTGCCTCAGGCTGAGGACCTCATACATGAGATGGTTGTCATTGATAAATACTACGAACCTATAACGTACCATAAACGCATGTTATCGGTGGAACGCTGGGGGGAGGAGGTAGGGCTGCATTTTGGAGGGTTGGTAGGTGGTCTCTGGTTAGATAGCATTTGGGGGTATTAGTCATCATTCCCCGACACGGAGGAGAAGAGGCTCGAGGCACAATGTGGCCGAGGAACGGTTGGAGGGTGGGGAGGGATGCCAGCATGGTATGGAGCTGGATGAATTCTCTCATGAGGGCCTTCATCATAGGAAGGGGTAGGTGCCACTACCACGCATAGAGGTTAACTGGTGACCTAAGGAATTCCCAACAGTCCTCTCTAGGCGAGCTGTTGCACACGATTTAGACCATACGATAGAAAGCTTCTGATGAGAAGCTGAAACTTGTGATCAAAACTCTGGACTTCCTATGTTCATACTCGAGATGATTCAGATCAGCTTGGGAGGATTTCCTTGACTGGACTGTGTGCACTTTATGGCGCTTCAGGTCAGCATTTTCGGGGGTCGGCGACAACACTACGACACTACATTAAATGCTGCATAATATCACTCAACGGTTTCTGTTCTATAATGAGTATCATTGGGGAAATGATGCTTATTGGTGTTACTATCATCATCATCGATCTCCCCGGTGGAGGGCAGTAGTCGTTGGAGGAAGTACTATTGAAACTATACGTTGTTCTATCTCCCTGCTAGTACTATAAGTTTGATATTAGCTGGTGTACTTGGAGTTTGGTTTCGGTGGGGAGTAGTGTCCATACCAGTGTTGGAAGAATATATGAGTTCGCTTTCCTCAGCTGAGTTCCTCGGGAATTAACTCACTAAAAGTGTACAGAAATCAACAAGAGCTCAACAGAGTTTCATCAGAATTTCCATATTGTCGGCAACACATGTGGTTGACCATGTGCATATGTTCGCACACTGGTTCGTGGAGTTGTCCAGTTCAATTGAATCTCTTTTGAGAAGCTTCCACATGTCCACCGCAGAGGACGCTCGTATTCTCGTTACTTTTGATGTTGACGGTACACTAGTTCGGTCAGTGGGGTCGACCGGAGCGGAGAGGAATAGGTGGCATCACCTCGCCTTTGCCGCTGGGATGAAGGAAGTCTTTAACATCGATGATGCTGATGTTACCAAAGTAGGGCTGGGTAGGGGAGTTTGTTGGGGGGCCAGGCGTGAAGTCGGATGGCCTTGTGTTACGAAGGGTGGCTGATGGACTAAACTTCGACTAGGACATCAAGTGATAATGCCTCGACGCGATAACCATGGAGTTTCACTACGCTAGTGATATGAAAAACATACTAGTGAGAAATATATTTCACGACTACTGCATATCACCGCGACTATGGGGGTTTTCCACAGAGTATTACGCCACTTCACGTAAAACGGGTGAAACTCCAATGAACCTAACGTACGTAAGTACATATCTACTCAGAAGTGTTTGCCGCTCATTGTCCCACAAGGACCCTATTCAAATCTTCCTACAACATTTACTCGTAAGGCAGTGTTGTTTAGATTGCCCATCATGGCTTGACGGATATGCTGATTGCCAGGGATTTAGCTGTGCACTACGGGTGTCCGCCTGTGGAGGTTACTGATGATAAAGTGGCAAGGGTTATGAAGGTGAGTTGGGGTGTGAATTAAGCACAGTGGGGAGTGTGGCAAAATATGCTCGGGGACATTTCGGGGAATTCTCATTGGTTTCGGTACACTTGTGGACTTTCATAAGTAGTGAGGAAACGGCCGAGGTCAGCTGAGGAGAGCGAACATATATTCCGCCAACACTGATCGGATATGTTGCTGTTGTTGTAGGTGATGGACGAGTTCGCTCGTGAGCACTATGACAAGTTTGGCGAAGGCCTCGAAATATTGCCCGGTGTACGCTCTCTATTGAAGACCTTGTCTGAGGAGTATAGATGCAAGGTGGGTTGATGGTCGAAGTGGAAGCTTATTCGTGTACGGCGTGCAGTGTGGGAAAATATGTGCATTGTCACTACATGTGTTGATAACAGTGTGAGAATTCTGAGAAAATTTTCGGGAAATTTTTGTTGGTTTTTGTACACTTTCACCCGAGTTAGTGAGGAAACTCCTGGACTGAACGAACAGTCTGTTACTATCGATAGCTTACTATAGGTTGTTGTGGGGCTGGTTACAGGCAATGTGGAGTCTATCGGGTGGGCCAAGATGCGTGCCCTAGGGATCGAGCAGTACTTCACTACAGAGCCTATAAGGGTAGAGTTACCATCCCTTGCACATGTCGTAGGGGTGTTCTGTTTTAGGTTGGCGCATTTGGAGGGAACGATTCGCCTTATCGAGCTGAATTGGTTCGTATGGCTCGTAGTAAGGCCGAGACGGTTTTCCCCGGGATAAAACGGTACGTTATCGGAATTTAATCATCACTCGGTCCTGGCGTGTGCGAGGACTTGTTTCTCGGTAGGCACTTCCACGTGGGAGATGCACCAAATGATATCATGGCGGCGATCGATGGGGTAGGTTGATGGTGTCAGTCGAGCCGTCGTAGTATCCTCCTCTCCTTAGGGTGCCTTCGCTATCGGAGTCACCACGGGGACGTTCTCAGCCGATGATCTTAACACTGTAAAAGGAGCCACAGCAGAAAACCATATAGTCCTTGAAAGCCTCCTTGACAATGATAGAGTTTTGGCTGTTATGGGCCTGTGTAGATAGTTCAACTACAGTCCTGATGAGGACGATGATGCACTACTCTGTTCCGTTGTAGTGGTTTCCCTCATCACCACGGTTGTGTATCCCTTTATTGCGTGTTCCTTCTGACTACTGTCTCGCGTTACTGGGCACTAGTTGTGGGTTGTTTATACAGTACATAGGCAAACCAGTGTTATGCATAGAGTGTTAGAACGCGAGAATACTGTTCTGTATCATCCTCATCACCAGCTGGAGCTGCTGGCTGAAGGCATGTCATGAATATCATTGTCTGCATTGTTTGGGTAGTCAGTCAGCAGCTTACTGCACGGGTTCGATCCCCGGTGACTGCATTTTTCCGTTCCGCATTGCGATACGTGATAGAAGCAGAATAGGACCGTCGCCGACTCGTCCCTAGTCCTCGGGCTCGTTCACCTTTACAGCGATCATTCTGAAATCAAGGGTGCGCTAGTCCGAAATCCCCCATGGTGGTGTGAAGTGGCGGAGCGAAATCAAAAACGAATTTTAGTACCGTAAAACAGTGAACTTTTATCTGTCGTCATGGCTCGCCTGCCGTCCCCTGCGGCTGTCAGGGACGATGTGGAGTTGAAGAAAAAGAAGAAGAAGAAACACTCCAAAAGTGGGCAGAGGCTTTCCTCTGTCGCTGTCCTATTGCTACTTTCCTCAGAGCGCAAGGCTGAGGAGGTCACCGAAGAGGTCGAGGCCGGACCTGCTGATGGTGATGGTCTGCCACGCTGATGGTTGAGGAAAGAACTGTTGTTGCTGTGGGTGTAGGTCACGAGGAGAAGGAGGAGGAGCTTGTGGATGTCCACTCTATGGAGCCTGCTAAAAAGAAGAAGAAGAAGAAGCATTCTAAAAGTAGTAGTACTTATGGAGGGTCTCTTTTCATGACTTGTACGTCGTATAGAGATAGAGGTAGTTGCAGAAGAGGAGGAGGAGGAAGCGGAGGCTGTTGATGGTAGTAATGGGCTTGGCTGAGGCAGGCATCATCGTAACGGAGGATCCCTTTCAGAGGGTGAAGTTGTTAAGAAGAGGAGGAAGAAGAAGCATTCTAAGAGTAAGCTGGGGTGATCAGTCTATGTGGACACTTTTCTCTTGGGGTTCCGAGTAGCTGGAGACTCTTATAGACTTCTTTCTTCAGAGAGTCATCGTCAGCAGCGGCAAGAGGAGGATACTATGGAAGGTGCTGGAGGTGGTATATTCAGTCGTTGAGGGGGGAGGTCGTCGGACGTGTAGTGGTCTTTCAGTCACTGTAGAGGAGCCCGAGAAGAAGAAAAAGAAGCACTCTAAGAGTAATGGGGCTCGGAGGCAGCGATGGTTGCTGTATCGGTGTTGACATTCTCAGAGCACGAGACTGTTGAGGTCGCTGAGGAGGAGGAGGAGGAGGAGGCCCCCGAGAGCAAGAAGAAGCACTCGAAGAGTAAGACCACTGGATGGGTTCTTACTACTATCCTTGTTCGTGTTAGAGCATCGCAAGAGCGTTGAGGAGCCTGTGAAGGTAGTCGAAGAAAAGGAGGAGGACGACGAGGCTTTGAAGAGAAAGAATAAGAAACACTCGAAAAGTAATATTGTTGGAAGGGTTAGTAGTAGTTCTATTGGGATGCGGGATGGACTCAGAACATCGCAACGATACAGAGGTAGCGGAAGAGGAGGAGGAGGAGGCTCCCAAAAAGAAGAAGAAACACTCTAAGAGTACGACATCGCTCACTTGTGTTGTGTGGACGACCGCTCACTGTAGGGAAGGGGAAGGAGGTGGAGGAAGCTGTAGTGCTCAAGAAGAAGCGCTGTAAGAGTAATAGGGTTTGGGTTTACGTATATGATACCATTCCCACTGTGTTGTTGTTAGAAACGAAGGAGGAGGAGGCTGAGGAGATCCCTGTAGAGGAGGAGGAGAAGGCTCCTGAGGGTAATGAGTGATAATAGGGTACCAGCCCGAAATGGTGGTTTAGCGTTAGAGCAGCAGCAGCAGGCCCTGTCTACCACCGACCGAGAGAGCTCGGAAGGGTGGGGCTGGGGGGAGGAGGTCTCCTCATCGGAGTATGGGCAAGGTGGTGGTACTAGTAGCACTGAGGAGTCGGGCAGTACTTCTAAGAAGCATGGTGACCATTGGAGGAGGATAGATGAGTCTAAGTAGGAGTGCCTTCATTTGTAAGGGGGGAGAATACTGCTGGTAGGTATATCGCGGATCTCACTATCTCTAGAAAGGACAACACACATGAGGCGAAGAAGAGGTAGTGTTGGTATCGGGTCATGGGGCTGTAGGAGAGTGGGGTTAGGTTCGGTCATGGCGCTGGTGACACCTGGGGTGACAAGGCAGCTGCTGACCTCATCAAGGTCCGTGGGAAAGGTAGAGTCATCTCGTAGGGGTAGGGATCATGGAGGAGGTTTGTATTAGATTTCCGCAAGGAGATGGCTAAGAAGAAGCGGGCATCCTGGCGTGGTGGTGGAGCCCTGGAGACAGGGGTAAACTCGATACCCTTCCCAGACTCTGATTCGGACTAGTAGCGCTTACGTACTTACTGAGCTTCTATAACGTTTCTACTTTCCTAACATAGAATGCTTCCTCGAACGTCCTACAGGTGGATGCGGTGTTGGGTTGCTAGTGAGGTTCACTAGGGTCTTCAGTGTTGGTAGTTTATGTTTGGTGCGGCGACTGGCTCGACTAGTCTATTCGGAGGCGGAGGGGCTCAGAGCTCATCAGCAGGAGGAGGAGGCCTCTTCGGTACCACAGCTCAGTCCTCGGGTGGGGGTGGCCTCTTTGGTAGCACACCAAGTAGTGGCAGCTCTCTCTTTGGTGGAGGGGCCACCTCGACCAGTGGAGGAGGAGGGCTCTTTGGTGGTGGAGGAGGAGGGAATACTGGTGGTGGACTCTTTGGCAGCACATCTAGCAGTAGTGGAGGGCTCTTTGGTGCTGCATCAACTGGAGGGGGTGGGGGCCTCTTTGGGGGTAGTGGCCAATCGACTGGTGGGGGCCTCCTTGGTGGTGGTGGTGGAGGGGCTGCTGCTGCTGGGAGTGGTAGTAGGTTGGGCGTATTGCTGGTTGGGGTTTCCATATAGTGGTATCAGGCTTGGCCGCCGCAGGAGGTCTACAGTCCTCTCAGGAGGCCCAGGCGGCTATTGTAGAATTCGGCAGTAGGATGAATCAAATCACCACGGCTATGCAGCCACGTATGATAGCCTTTACGTAGTGCCTCGAGGACCGTGGTGGGAACCTGCGATGGGCCCTTTACAGGTATGTTATGACCGATAATAAGAATCAGGCTATGCAAGTCTTCGCCCAGCCGTACCAGTCGGCAGTGCATGGACCTGACCAGATGAAGTGGCAGATGGCTAAGGTGCCCTTGGGTACACCGTTGGGACGGGATTCTTCCTCCTCAGGACCTCTGCCCTGCTATGCTGGATCGCCCAGACTCGGCAGCCCAGGGGGTGTGGGCCTACCCCCTACCCTTGACCTCAGTAGACCAGATGGTCTCGAGAGTCGCGGACCAGCAGAAGCTCGTGGCCCAGGCTGAGGGGATGATGGAAAACGTTAAAGTAGTGGAGGGGAACTTGGATGGCACCGTACATTGGACTCCCCAGGTCCAATACTCGAATCTTGAGGGGTATGTGTCGGTAACTACGTTGAAGGAGTTGGAGAAGGCCCGACTGCGGCATCAACAGCTGAGTACACTTCGTAGTAGTGCTGTTGGGAGGCGGTGATGGTCTCTACTGTTAGTAAGCAAGCTCACTAGTGTCACGGCCCTCATCGACACTCTGGCTCAATCTCGGCAGCCACAGCAGCTGGTTGGAGGGGCCTATGCACAGGTGGGCTTCATCGTGTTGAGGAGGGGAAGGAGGGTCATTTAGGCGGAAGCGGCGTACTCTGAGTTGGAGCGGAGAGCTGCTGTTGTTCAAGGACGCTTTGCAGAGGCACGATATAAGGTATTATGGGCTATAGAGTAGTAGTGATGATGGCGGCATGCTCAGGCGAGTATGGCGGAGCAGAGGACAGGGGTCCCGCCGGGAAGGGCCGCCTCGACGACGGAGCTCTCCTGTGCTGATCAGCAGAAGTTGTTGAAGATAGTCAAGGACCAGGTACTTGCCTTTTACTGCCCTCTAGAGTGTTTACTTGTATGTATCAGACCATCTGTATTCAACAGCTTCAATCGGAGATGCGCAGGACCGTATCAGACGTGGATAACGTGCATAGTAGGGCGGTGAAGGCCCACCAACAACAATATAGGGCCCACGGCGACCCTCTACGGGCATTGGGCCATATGTAGTTCTCTTGAGCTCCATCTCTTGTGTTGGTGCTGGGGGGGGGTCCTTATATGGGCGTAGAGATCTTCCTGAGTGATGCCGCATACGAAGAGGAAACGTCAGCGGGACTCGACCAAGCCGGAGATCATCGCTGGGCCTGGTGGCAATGCTTATTCCTCACCTGAGGAAGCTGAGAAGTATGGTAGCATCAGTAATCAGAAGATCCAGGCAGAGCTCACGGCCACAGCAGTACAGTTGATGAAGACCAAGGGCTCTATAGATGGTCCGGGTGGGGCGCCCTCGGGGGCTTACTGACGATCACTTGGATGTCCCTTAGGCCTGTGGTTGGAACTGGGCTGTGGGTCGGGCTTCTCTACAGGGGCTATAACGCGGAGGAACAGGTTCATCGTGGCTACGGACATTTCATTGGCTATGATGGACCTCATTGAAGATAAGGGAGGCATTGTTGATAAGGTGCTGATGGACATGGGCAAACCGTAAGGAGCAGTGGGCCGCATAGCAACGTGGACCTGCCCGCAGATGGCCCCTGCGCCCGGGTATTGCCGATACGATGTTAAGCATCAGTGCTGCCCAGTGGCTGATCGATGAGCATGGTGGCGATCCTGACGTGACGCGCCGTCGATTCAAGGAGCTCGACAGTAGAATACGGACTGTTGGTAGCCCTGATGTGAAGGTAGCTGGGCATACTCGGGGGAACTGCCCTTGACCTCTGAGAGAGAGAGAGCTTTGCGGCTCTTTGTGAAGGAGGTTAAGCTGGGCTTCTCAGTCGTAATACGCATTAGCGTCACGGATCATCTCAGTGAAAAACAACAAGAACCTCTGATGCTTACTCTTTGATCACCTGAGTTGTTCTGTCAGTTTGCGCTTCAGCTGTACCCGGTTCCTGGTGCTCCTCGACAGCTATGTGCTGCAGCTGGTGACAACTCTCTTGTGATGGCCTACCCTCATGGAAACAACCAGCGGAAATTCTTCATCACCAATGGGCCCTCCACGAGGCAATGGTGCGTGCTGGCCTGGCCCTTCGCGACCTGTGAATGTTGCCTTCATTCCGGTCGGGATAATGCTGATGATGGCCAGAGTTTCAAACGTCACCTTGGATATGTTCATTCAACGCTCCGCACGTATCGAAGACTCTGTGGTCAGGGACTCTACGGTCCCTCGCTATTGGTTGGGAAGAGACTGTGGGAGAGGTAAACAGCCTCCTATGGGGTCATTCTGATACATCATTGCATTGGTTGGTCATTGTAGATACGTTGAATTGCTGGGAGAAAAAGCGAACGTTGGGAGCATTTCGAGAGAATGGTTGGCGGGGAAGATGGCGGATGAGTTCCTTCCTATTATGCATACGTGTCCCGACGTGTCCTTGTACTCCGAAAGTCCCCCACCCATTGTGGATGGGTTCTCTCCAAAACGTTTCAAATAGCTCAGCAGTGTTTCGCACGAGTTGTGACCTGGGCGCTGGGACCGATAAAACGCAGATTCGAATGAATACAACGAATAGATAATCTCAAAAATCATGGGGTCACGTCTCGTATAAGAGAGAAACACGTTACGGTTCCTTTGCGGAAAAATGCCCCAGCTGGGGATTGTACCGTCATACCTAAGGAGAGGGAAATTGCGTGACCTAACGAAGTGCCCGTGAGGCGAGCGCTAAGCAACCTCTAGTGTCGATGGAAGTGAGTGAAACTGCAGACTCCAAGGATGGCCGTAGGGTTGTGTAGGCACCCGAACAGGACGATTTTTCCTTTCTTCTCTTGTTACCCTTTAAACTGGGGGACTGAGGCACTCGACACTGTGACTGATGCTCGGATAGCTTAGTCACTTCAGTTTCCTGACTCATCCTCTGGTCAGTATTGCCCAACCCAGATCTCGGCTGTCGGGCCTCAGGTCTGAGGTTTGATCAATGCCTCTCTCATCCCCAGCGTCTATAGGATATCGTCGGTGCGTAAACCTGAAGACCGCATGTAGTAGGAAAAGCACTATAATGGTTCTAGACATCTATAGTTCGCTTGCTGAAGTAATGAACCATGCGACATCAATAGTGTTCACACAAACAGTGTCGTCTCTATCCACCACAATACGAGAACATCAGAACATTGAATCCGAATATCCTCTTTTGGTTGACAATCGAATAATCTATGACTAATATTATCAACAGCTTGATCAGCATCACTGTGGGAACATATTCTACTTGATTGCGATAAGCACTGTTTTCTGTGTGAGGGATTAGCTCAAATGGTAGAGTGGTCGCTTAGCAAACGAAAGGCACCGGGATTGATGTCCGGGTTCTCCAATTATGCACAACAACGGTTGTCCCTTCACGGTGATGTCTGATTTTCATCCACAGAAAGACTTGATGTTATACTATAATTAGAAAGGTCTATTCTATCTCACGATCAATCCAGCGAGGTAGTTTGATCGCTGATCGGGCACTCCTTCTGTGATGCCCCTGATGGCGAACTCGCCCGAAATCAAGGAGTCTTGAACAAAATATTGGAGGCAGTCACAGCATGAAAACAGGCTCAGTATAGCTCCGCTCGCTCGAAGAACTTCTACAGAAGTGTAATATTGATATTTGGAAGGTTAACTTGCGGAATAGTCGTCGCAGGGCAGGCCTGTTGCAGTAGCTAAAACTAGGAAGGCGTTGTCTACATTCGCAATCTGCCTAATTGACCATTTCCCTGGTAGCTTGATGAAAAATAGGTTGTGATTGTTCCTGTGGTATTTGTAGATAACGGGCACACCTTACTCATGAGATTTATGATGCCTCCGACCTCTCCTAGCTGCCTCTCCCAGTCTAGACTGCTCAGTCCAGATTCAATTGAGCTGGACGATGCCAAAAACCTCCGAATGTCAGTTCATCTGTACAACGCCTCACCAACTAAACTGAGACCGAATACTAATGAGAATAAATACTAGATGGAATAGAGAGCGCTGTTCATATGCTAGCTCTGAGAACATAATCTGGGCGGACCTTGAAACTACAACCTTTGGTTTAAAAGCCTAACACTCTATCCAATAGAGCCACCAGAACTTCTGTTCCTACGATATACCGATAGCGTCCGAAGTATAGATAACAGAAAACTTGGAGTCATCTGACTCAGATATACTCCAGCTCCTCTCACTGGTTAGTTACATCTATACATCCCAGCCAGTGTGAATATCATTTTTACTGACACAACAACCCTCTTGAATGACGTGTAATGCGAAATCACAGCTACAATTATTTCATCCGTCGAATCCGCACATCGTGAGTGGTCACCAAAAGATAACTCTTGTGCACGAGAAGAGACGACTCTCGAGCTCGTGAGCGTTGTAGTGAGCACTATGTGGCCCTCTCCAGATTCTGTTGTGGAGCTATAAAGTACAGAAGAATAAGCTCGTGATGCTTACCCCTTATCGCGAATCTTCGAGCGGTTCTTCGCCGTTGAAACTAAGTTCAGCTTGGCTTCCGGTCATATCGCAGTTGCTACTTAACCTAGCCTCCTTCGATACACCGACATCACACATGTTAACCTCGGCAGAGTCGTGTCTCGACTCCGAACCGGGTCGCTCGGGGGACTTCACCATAACCGAGGACTGCTGAGCATCTGCAAGCACCTCAACCTTCCCCAGGAACGCGTAGGCTTCATCAAAGCTCATTAATGGTCGGACACTTCTTCGATGATTCCGAGGGCATGGGCCTCCCTCGACTAGACCCATCCACTCGGCCATACGATACATCATACAGTATCGATGATCGAAGACTCCGGAACCAGTCTCACCCACGCCTCCACAAGTCCGGGTCCGGAAGTACTGTGGCGAAGAGTGAGGCATGAAACACTGCGAAGCTCCAATATGTATTTCTCCGAGATATTTTCAATACCTCAGACCACGAGTCGGATCCCCGACATATAAGCGAGCTCAACAGCCTGGGATGCCGTATATACAGTCTGTATGTACGGAGACAGCATACATATACATGCTCATGATGTCTCTAGTGAGATCTCCCAGGAACATCTCAACCCCCGTCGGACACACCCATAACGATTCACGAACACAAGATTGAGTAAACTTGATCGATAGGACGCAATTCAGAGTGACAAGCTGAAAAGAGAAGAGAAAGAGTAGTCGCAGCCAACAAATCGAGTTGAAGACCATTGCAACCTATCGCTCGTGATCGATTCGCAAGGTACGAGATTGCTATCAGAAATACTGCCAGGTCACGATGGTAAGTCGATTACTCATCACGGACAGAGGACGACCTGGTAGTTACCATAGCATCGTTGACTGGTGTTATGACAGAGACAATAAGACCCACATTCGGTGGGCTGCAAGATGGCAACGAGTAGAATCATCATATAAGTGATTATCATCGACTTTCGCAAGAACAATATCTCGTTTCCTGTCCAATGCATTTCGATGTGTACTTGTCACAATAAAGGTCGCAGACTGACGAAAGACATGGACTTATATGGCGGCCTTGTTCGGGATCGTAACCTTCACCCTCGAGCATAACACTGATTAGCAGAAGACCGAAGAAGATAACCTTGAGCATGGGAGTTCGAGAAGAACAAAGACTGAATCCTTGTCTATACCACTCGCTCACTCTACGTGTAGTCTACGCGAACGGATCCAAGACTCACCTTAGAACGCACATGACCTATCTTCACATTACATCATACTAGGCCTTCCCGAGGAAGTAGTGGAGCTCGCACGTCCAAAGAGGGGGCGAGTCAGATTCTTGAAAACTATGGACGCAGAACGAGCTCTTGTTATTATTAGTGGTCCTGGGACTAGCAGTTCTCTTGTTTCACTCTTATGCAAATGAATAATGCGATTGTACCAAAATCGATATCTTTATACTCGATCGATCAGACTCTTGATAATACGGGGTGAAGTCGCTGGATGAAGCCTTGCACGCAAACTCATCTTCTTGAACGCAAACTCATCAGCACACTCCCCCTAAAAATTCTTACGAGGAGCTTTACTAACCTCCTCAATCTGCTCGAATACTCTTTTCTTTCACCCGGTCAACATCCCCAGGCCTGACGTCGACATCGCCTTCACAGTATCCCTCAAATGGCGCAGATCCTTTCTGTCAACCTTTACAGATCCCCAATCTCCCGTCTGCTTCGGCTCTTAACCGCCGCCGTAGTTACCGATCCATCCGCAAGCCGTACTAGCTCATATGTGCACTATGTGCCCTTGTCTTGGTTCTGCCATGGAGTTATAGTCTACAGGGGTATAAGCTCATGATGCTCACCCCCTATCGCGGATGCTCGAGCGGCTCTTGGCCATTGAAACTAAGTTGAACTTAGTAAGTTCCGTTTGGCTTCTGGTCATACCGTAGTTGGTACTCAACCTTCCACTCCTCGACACATCGACACCACCCATGTTAACTTCGGCAGAGTCGTGCCTTGACTCCGAACCAGATCATTCGGGCACCTTCAGCATAACCGGGGACTGTTGGGCATCTATAAGCACCTCAACCTTCCCGGGGAAGGCTTCCCAGCTTGGGGAAGGCATAGACTTCATCAAAACTCATGGATGGTCGAGCACTCCTTCGATGATTTCGAGGGCAAGGGCCTCCCTCGACTAGACCCATCCACACGGCCATACGATACATCATACAGTATCGATGATCGAAAATTTCGGAACCCGCCTCACCCACGCCCCCACAAGTCCGGAAGTACTGTGGCGCAGAGTGAGGCATTAAACGCTGCGAGACTCCAATATATCACTGAGAGGTTTTCGGCACCTTAGATCCCGAGTCAGGTTCCCGACATACGAGCGAGCTCAACAGCTCAGGAACGATATCCAGTTTGCTCATGCAAAGACAATATACACACGCATGGCAATGATGTCTCTACTGAGCTCTCCCAGGCACATCTCAATCCCCGTCGAACATACACACAGCAATTTCCAAAGCGAGATCGACTGGACTTGATGAATAGGACCCAACGCAAATGTAGCGACACCGTTCCCCTCTCCGCAAACTCCTCGTTGAGAGTTATCGACGACGGTTTCTCGTGCAACGCAACATCTCTTTCTCTGCTAGGACTCGTATCCATATCGGAGTTTTAGTGACAGAATAGACCGAAGATTGAGATCCAAATAAAAACCCCTGGAGTACGTAAGATCCTCGACGTGCATCGAGCTCCAAGAATACAGACTTCGCCAAATACGTCACGGATCAAAATCGAATATCGGCGTGTCACAGACGAATCTTGTGGTATCATATCTTCAGCATTGCTCAATAAGTCTGGTAATCAGTACACGAAAGAAAAAGTAGACAGGATTAATGACGAAGTAAATGAGGGAGCCTCGTCCGATAAGTAAAAACTCTAGCAGAATTGTCGAGCCTCGCGCGCTCAGCATCACAGCAAAGTAGCAAGATGGTGTTCCGTGTATCACTACGGTATGATCGCAGGCAACTCGAACCCTCGCAGACTATTCATCGGATGAATTTTATTCGCCATGTGTGGAAAATAAAGAGGAGAGAGATTAGTCTTAACGAGCAAGATGAGACCTGGCAGTTACTATGGCATCGTTAGCTAGTGGTATAGCAGAGAGAATAGGGCCACACTGGGTGAGCTGAGTGATAATTATCGAACGTCGCAGTCACAACTGGTCGTTTCTTGCCCAAGGCAAACCCCTCTCTCCCTGCTACAAAGAAGGTCGCATTCGCGGGACAAACATGGGGTATCTTTCATAAGGCGTTGTTGTCCAGCATCGTAACCTTGACCCTTGAGGATAACACCGATGAGCAGAAGACCGACGCCGATAACTTTGAACATGGGAGTTCGAGAAGAATGTAAAGCTGAATCCCTGTACATTTCACTCTTTCACTCTGCATGAAGTTTGCGCTAACGGATCTGGGGCTCGCCTTGCAACTTACATGACCTATGTCTATATTACAGCATATTCAATGTCACATTCCCAATGGTCTGCAACTATAGCGTCTTTGATTCGCCAGCACGTACACTGTGTACGTGCTACATATGCCGCGCTGTTAGTAGTAACACCCGCACTGATTGACTCAACAATGGTTGACTCAACAACACTTGGGATAGCCACAATAGGTGATAAGGCTTCTTATCTTATCCGTTTCAGCCTGACGGCTGCGAACTGTTTCATGCAACGAGCAATGTGCGAGTGAGATTTGTGCATACCGTATGCAGTGCATACTATGCACGTATGCAGCATACGTGCGCGAGCACACGCATTCAAGCTGTGTGTACGGTACACATGAGCTACAGATCCCCCGGAGCGAAGCGGCGGGATCTGCTAGTAGCTTAAATGCGCGGCAAATGTGGAATGTGGTACGCACATACATTCCTGGCAGTTAATAACTGCGACGACTACAGAGAAGGCGAAACAGTTAGTCACTAACTGTTAGTGTGAAGATCACAGGAACCCACAGTAATTCAATCGCCTGCTAGCTTACACTGCTGAGCAATCTCTTCTCTTTATCATTGAATGAGACAATCTTTCTCAACGAATTGGTTCAGGAGTTGGTTATCTGCTGCCTTACAAGTAGTCATTTCAAGATTGCTGAGTTTAAGACAGTTATCGTATATTTCGACAATTGAGCACTTTTATTGAGATGAGGAATTTCCAGATTGCTGAGTTTAAGACAATTATCGAGTGTTCCGACATTTGAGCACTTTTATTGAGATGATGAATTCCAAGATTGCTAAGTTCAAGATAAATATCGTGTATTGCGCCACATTTGAGTACTTTCATTGAGATGAGGAATTTCAAGATTGCCGAGTTTGAAATAGTGGGCCTGTTTCATAGGAGCAAATTGCGCCTTAAACTTAAGTAACGCCTTAAGTATACCTTAAGTAATTAGGACATCCTATTTCACTACTTAAGTAGGCACGTTAAGGCGCCTTAAGTTTAGGAATACTTAAGGCGCCTTAAGTTTCTGTGCATATACTTAAGTATTCACGAGAAGCATTTCACAACATGCGTACTTAAGGAGCAACTTAAGTATTCCTTAAATTTTATTGAGGTAGAGCCGACCCTACCTAAATAGATACTTAAGTACCTTGTTCGAATATTGCAGCCCACAGGGGTTGAACCAGGGACCCTTCGAAGTACGATGCTTTGATATTGCATCTCGCAGGGGTCGAACCGGAGACCTTACGAATGGCAGCACGGTGCTCTCCCACTTGTCCAGAGAGGCAAAGAAATCGAGCCAAGAGTTCATTTCCTTCACGCAGCAAAAGCCGAACCGAACTTCACAATATGGTCCTTAAGAATCAGCCACTGCAAGACGTCGAGGAGGCAATGTTTGCTGCTTGGGAACAGGAGATGAGGATCTGGGTCAATCACAGTCATCTCGAATAACTCTGATTGACCCAGATGCTCCAGTGGATGGTGTCGGGAACGCTCTTCGCAAGAGCTACGTTCGCAGATAGTTGCAGCGACTTAGAGATATTTCAGTGCTTTGCGTCACCTTGAGTTCACATGAGTATATTTTCTACTTAGCGGACCGTTGAGTGACTTATTCTAGCTAACATTGTAATTCGTGGGAAATCCCCTTGCAGCTCGTTACCAATGGTAACTTACCATTGATACCTTACCCATGATCGAGGACAGTAGTTGCGAAACAGTAAACGACCATAGAAACAGCATACCTCAGATTTGTACCTGTGCCGATCGTGTGGTAAACAAACAACCTAACCACTGAAGCATTTACACCACGAAACTAAACATGTAATTCTATTCTATACCTGTAACCATGGTTAAGTAGATACTCAAGTACGCCTTAAGTTAAGGAGCTCCTTAAGTTGCTCCTAAACGTTGTGAAATGAGTTGAGTACTTCTTAAGTATACCTTAAGTAACTCCTTAAGTCGCGCCTATATTTAAGGCGCCTTAAATTAAGTATCCTTGTGAAACAGGCCCAGTATGCATTATGAATTCATTATGAACTTCTGAATCATAAACTTGCTGAAATTAGGATAGTTATCGTGTATTTCAATGACTGAGCAGTGCTCAGTGAGCACATATCCTGAGTATTCGTATATATTGCTGGATTATCCATATTGTACGACGAATAGTCAAACTCAGCATATGGGTGATGTGAGTGCCAATTTAGTGAACATCCACTAAAAATCCTCAATTCAACACCTCCGGCACTAGAGTGCTGAAAAGTTAATGTTGCAGAATAGTAATTGATGAATAGTGTCTTTCAAGGTGCTGAGAAGCAAATGAAAATTATTAAGTGCTGAATTATTAAAAAATGGGCGCAAATTTGAGTGCTGAAATTGTTATGGAGACACATTACGGCACTTTTAACTATTCAGCAAGGTTGCTGAAGTGCTGAAAAATGATCGACCCTCCGTGTTGGGCCTCTGCAGCGGGTTGGGATTATTGACCGGCCTGCCCGCCCAGGTGACTGTAGGAGAGTTCGCGAACATAACATCGGCCGCCCGACGGCTGTGCGGTTCGGTGCAGGGCACGGAGACCTGTTGACCGTTATGGTTGATTTGTCCCCTTGTTTTACGGTATTTATTGTACTTTTGTTACGGTATTTGCTGTCGATTGTGCTAGCCTCGATGATTCGCATCACGTATTTGTGCATGCGTGCTGTTCCCAGGGGTGCGTGAACCCTAGGGTTAGGCTTTCGTAAACGACGATCGTTTGCTTGCGTTGGACCTGAGTCCAGGCTCAGAGTGATCTACTGTGATTTGAGGTGTATCATTCGCTAGTGGCTAAGCTCCGTCTGAACGGTATCTTAGTCAGGGATAAGTTTACGGTAATACCGTGGACGTAACGGTATTGTATACGGGTTAGGCATTGTGTTCGCTAGTCACGATGGTATTGACTCGTAGTGGCAATTGTTCGAATAGAGTCGTTGATCATTCGGGTCAACAGAGCCCCATAGTGAAGATTTCAAAGGTCGAGCAACGTGTACGTCGTACGATATTCATTCAACTATGAAAGCTTTCTAAGTGCTAACTGGGTGGTGTTCTTCTTATTTTTGCCAAGATAAATACGAATCCCATTTCACAAAGACGAAGCAAGATTGGATTATTCAACTGTAATTAATATCATATCCAATTTTGATATGATATTAATTACAGTTGATGAGTTCGAGTTCCACTCTTCGTCACATTCATGGTTCACCGCTCCCAGTAGCGTCGAATATATGCCGTTCCATGTATATAAATCATTATACAGTTCCGTATGTATTTGATTCCTGTGAGAAAGAGTAGATGCGTTCAAGCAGAACGACGCACGACCTTCTCATAACACGAGTCGAATCGACGCAGTAGGTTCATTCGCATGCTTCATGTGTGGTGAAAAGCACTTGACAAGCTCATTGGGTTAATCCCGATGTTGTCGTGAATCAGGGTCTCGGACACGAATGAATCTCATCCGCTAGCTCTTCCCACCTGAGGTGGCTTCTCCCTCTCAGCAGTGTTTCCTCTCCCAATATGTCGAGTGGAGTCCAAGCCGATGGTTTAGCCGGAGTCGTTGCTGGTGTCTCTGCCATATGCACTGTCGGTCTCGGCAGTGGCCTCAATTACCGTGGCTACAATGTTAAGGACTTAACCGACAAAACAGAGACTTTCGAGGAAGTTGCGTAGGTCTACCATTGCCGACTCAAGCCGACCCCTTCCATCCTAGATACCTCCTATTGAGAGGGGTACTGCCGACTCGTCGTGAACTCAGTGCTTTCCTCCTACGACAAGGAGCTGCTAGGAAACTCAGCCCCAACATGCATACCATGCTCGAGATGCTCCCTAAGGACACGCATCCGATGGATGTAGATTAATGGACGTGGGCTCGCTCTTTAATGAGCTACTATCTCAATCAGGTCTTGCGAGTTTCCGTCTCCCTCATAGGCTGTCTCGAGCCAGAGGCTGAGGATCCCGACGTGAGGATCCGCGACAACACAGCAGTTGATGTCGCTGAGAGGCTTATGGCTGTGTTGCCTTGTGCTGTTCTGTAAGCATCTACCTGCTGTTTGCCAGTGGGAAGGGGATCTGCAGGTACTGGTTTCACTTCTCGCACTATGGGAGGCGAATTGATGTGTCCACCAGTAAACGGGATCCTCAAGAGACTATGGCGGCCCACTTCCTCCGACTGCTCCATCAGACGGGATACGACACCCCTCCTGATCGAGATATGATCAGTACGACTCCTTCATATCTACTCAGTGGAGTGTATTGTGCACAGAGACTCTCGATAAGTCCTTTATATGCTACGCTGAGCACGACTACAATGCTTCGACTTTCGCTGCTAGAGTCACTACTGCTACATTGAGCGATGCTTATTCAGCTTTCACTACTGCTATTGGTAAGTAGATGGTCAGGAGGCACTCGAAGGCTGGTATCGATATGAGGTACCCTAAGGGGCCCCTTGCACGGTGGGGCTAATGAGGCCACGATGGAGCTGCTTTCGACGTTCGAAAGCCCCGAGGATGCCGAGAAGAAACTACACGAAATGTTCACTAAGAAAAAGCTGGTCATGGGGTTTGGGCACAGGATGTGAGTCTGAGCTACACTATGTGAAATCAGTGGCAACTTCATAGATACAAGACTGGCGATCCTCGATCACCGATAATGGAGGAGTGTTCAAAAGCGCTGTCTCAGAAGCCTGGTCGGACATCTCTACTCTTCAATATCTCGAAACGGGTGGAGGAAGTATTGAAGGCCGAGAAAGGCATGTATCCCAACGCCGACTTCTACAGTGCCTCAGCCTATCACTATTGCGGAGTACGAAGGCTCATGATCATTCTATCGTCATTTCTTATCCTCAGGTGCCGACACCTCTCTTTACGCCTCTGTTTGTGTTTTCGAGAATAACAGGATGGACGGCCCATATCGTCGAGCAGAGGGCCAACAATAAGCTCATCAGACCGACTTCGAAGTAGGATGGATCACCAGTCAGGAAGTCTTCAGTGAACTGTTCGCGTTTGGAAGATACTGCGGTCCTGAGCCGAATCAGAGGGTGGTGCCGATTGATGAGCGTCGTGATGAAGGAACAGCGTGTAGTGAGATGGATCATGGGAAACGGAGTCGATTATAACAATGATGGGAGTAAAAACTAGTGCGCTTGTGTACAAAAAAACCGTACTCGTGATTTGAACCAGGGTCTTTCGCTTGCTAGCGGATCGTGTCTGTTTTCAGGAGGGCCAACGCTGCCAGCGGAGATGGGATCGGCTATCGAAGTAGCTCAAGTAGCTGTCGACACACGAGTCTTAGCGGAGGCTTCGATTTCTGATATCTTTCGAATGATTTTAACTTATTTCTTTCGCCCACCGCATGTTTCGTTGTCATGGGATCGTTCATCGTCAATCCGGCCACTAGGGGGATAGCCTCTTTCGAATACTGCGAGGCTCAATCAACTCCTTGTACACGAATGCACTCATGGTAGATTTTGTGGCGTTTATGGCTGCTTCATCCTCCCCGGTTGATATTGAGCTGGGAGGGGTCGATGAGATGGAGACGTCCCCTCTGAGAACAGACGATTATACTCCCTCTTCACTTACAGTAGGCTCTTACTCTGTATAGTGGATCGCATTGAAGATTCGCGTTTTCAGCTTCAACTCGCGGTGTTCTTTTTCTGGGTTGGTGGTTGGGGTATATGTGACACAATAGTGACTCTGGTATCGAGCACTCCACTCACACAGATAGGTGGTTTGATCCGGTCTCCCGCTTGGGATGACTTCTCCTCATCTCAGCGATGTACCTCGGATATCTTCTGATAGCCGTTGGTTTGGTATGGCATAATTCAAGGCGGTCCGCCGAGGGGCACTTCTCTATCACAGATGCCATCACAAGAGCATTCACAGAGTGATGCATCGACGATGCTGCAGGACTTCTCCCTGCGGGAGGTTTATTCTCCTCCACTGAGCGGCATGACGTGTGGCGACATCCCCGACGGCTCGACGGGAACCGCGAGATGGATAAGTTCTAGGCCAGCATAGCGTGTGCACGAGTTTCGGACCTTCGCTCGTTGGGTTTCCGAATGAGGCAGTCATTCCTTATCAAACAATCTCTTTCAAGCTTCTCATCATGTTCGCTTCCCGGCGCTCGTTGGCGACTCTTCGACATACTGCGCTCTTCAGTCATGGCGGTCTCCGAGTATTTTACGACTTATCTGTTCGTTCCATAGTTCTCTCACCTCAGTGTTGCGGCTCAAGCCTATTGTTGCAGCGAACACCCACGATAGGGTTATTTTTCGGGTCGCGAGGATTTGCCAAGAAGAGCCCCCCTAAGCTGAAGAGCAAGGAAGAGAAACAACAAAGTGTGCAGAAGAAGAAAGTAGGGGAATGGCAGAGTCTCAGTTGATGTTATCGGCGAACAGGATTTGCGTGATCGGAGGGAAGCGGATAAGTTCCTCTCGCTAGAGGACACCAAAACGGGTATGGCTGGATGACGTGTTTTGGCGGGAGTCTGGTTGTCTCAGTGGGTTCGATGACACCAGCGGAGCGCCGACAACAACGACTAGATCAGAAGATGGACCATGCTAAGATGCTGAAGGAGGTAACTTGGCAGTTCTTCACACTTGGGAGGGTGGGTGCATCAGCAAACGCAAGCTCTCGATGAGGAAGTGAGAGATATGAAAGCAGCCTTGCAAGAAGTGCAAATGGAGCAGGCATCACCTGAGCTCTTTCGGAGCATCACTGTAAGGTTGAGTACAATACATGGGATAGCAGGGGTCCATCAGGTGGCGGAGAAGCCTTTATTGAACATATCACAGATGAGCATTCTCAATGCTACGACTGTCAATTTCTCCGTGTTCGATGACGGTCTGGCAGGAGCGTAAAATCCAGACATTTGGGATCGGCTGAGCCATGCGTGTGTAGGTGCCAAAAAGCAATTCAACTGAGAGGGAAGAACTGGACAGTGAATAAAGACGGGAATAAAGTGTGTCTCCCGAGGGAAACCCCTGCAGCTTTTGGGCGGTTCGATTAGATCAGCGTTGTCCTTCCGAAAGTCACGCGAGAAGTTCGGAATGAGTGTCTCAACCGGTGCAAGGGTATTCTGAAGAAGTACCAGAGGAACATCAATTCGATCAGAGCCACTATGCTGGAGTAGTATGCAATTGAGATTAACCGCATGAAAGTACTCCTCGGGAATCAGGGAAAATCGCCGAATGATGCCCTCGACCGAAATGGAGAAGACTGAGGCAGCGAAGATCGACAAGATAGTGAGCAGATGACGCCTATTTTTGCACAGGATTCTACTCTTTCAGTACAAGCAAAGAGCTGACCAGCTCGTAGTACTTTTGAGGGAGAAGGAGCAGGCACTGTCCAAGGCTACATGATCTTGCGTTGTTGTACGTGATGAGTTTCTGGCAATCGCTGAGCCGTGTTCATAGTTACGAGTATTTCACTTTTTGGCTTATTCATTCCGAGCTTGCAGAGTTGCGCTATGAAATATGCCGTGTATATGTTACTTTGAATTCCAACGCCGTCGCCGGCAAGATACGCCGTAGTACAATCACTATCGTAGGAGCACGCGGTGAGGCGATCAATTCCCTCGGCACGACCGGTATATTTCCAATTCCGCCCAATTGTCAGAGTCAATTTTGCTGTAGGCAATACCGAGGGGCAGATATGCCACCTCCGGCGTTGGATTGATGTGAGTTCTTAATGACAAACTGTCAATGAATACACACTAGAGAGCATAATACAGCGCGTTGGAAACCAAAAATGGCATAGCTGCCCCTAAACGGAATTGGTCACATTTATAGCCAACTTGGCCACACGATGAAATATCTTTGGATGGGATAGCCGACAATCTTACCGCTGTCATAGGAGGCTTCCCCAAGTGTTAGAGTCGAGTCTACTATCTTATACGTCTACTTACAGTCGACAACCATGGCAAGCATCGTCAGTATTAAGAGTTATGGATCACGGCGTCTTTCATACTCAGTAGTTCACTCAATTCCGAGTTAATAGCTTGCATCACAATCGAATCTCTAGCATTATACTGCATAATGGTTCTCGCTCTTTCCTGAGACTACCAAGTATCGATGCTGGCTACATATTTGTCAGCTCACTCTCTAATCATGAATCTGGACTTAAACTCTTATTAGGACTAATAATATTACCACAGCCAAAGAGACTCTATTAACTAACACAGCAAAAATGCCATTCTAACAACTTATCCGATGACATAAAGTTTCGAGTAGATCACAAGGAACCACTTGAAACAACCCCGTAGAGAGGAACGATAGCTTTTGTCGACCGTTAACGGGTTCATAGAATAATAACACGTAGACTGTCTCGACGGGCAGTTTATATTAAACATTTTTTAAGGGAAGGTAGACTTTCCCTTTAGAAGAAAATTCTTAGAAACATGTTATAGTAGCAAACCATCCGTACTAATGAGATACTCCTTCCGACCGAGCAGCATTTTCGACATCCACCTTAACGGAAGCGTCGACATTTTTAGACCTGCTCCCATATCTCCTACTGAAGTACGCCTGGATCTCTTCGAATGTCTTACCCTTTGTCTCTGGGACAATCAACAGAACAAAGATAACCATAGCCAAACAGACGACGGCAAAACTCCAGAACACACCCTGGTATGTAATGGCCTCTCTATAGTCATCCAAGAACATAGTGACTATCCAAGAACAGAACCAGTTCACGCCAGTGGCGATAGATGCAGAAAGACCTCTCACTTCATTGGGGAAGATCTCAGCCATAATCAACCATGGGATTGCACCAACACCAATAGAGAAGGAAGCAATGTATAAGAATGCGGAAAAGATGGCCAACCAACTGACATTGTTGTCGTTAACATCATCGAGAAAGAAGAAAACTCCCAATAGAACAGCTGCTATGCACATTCCAGCAGCTCCCGCAACCAAGAGAATTCTCCTCCCCGCCATATCCATGATGATACAGGCAATCAAGGTTACGACCACCTGAGCGGCCATAACAGCAAGTGCCATACCCTCTTTGTTATCTAGTCCAGCAGCCTGGAAAATAGTTGTCTGATAAAATATGACAGCATTGATACCAGAGAACTGCTGAAGAACTTGTAGAGCGATACCAATGAACAGCTGCATTTTGCACTGACCGAGCGCACCGAAAGCCCACGAAGCACTCTCCTTCCAAGTATTCTTCATGTTCTTAGCGTTGTGAGCAGCAGATACTTCATAAGCCTTCACTTCCTCCATAATCTCGGGATCCTCCTCAACTGACTTAGAACCTCTCAGTCTCAATAGAACTTTTTTCGCAGCGTCAGCACGATTATGCTCAGCCAACCAGCGAGGAGACTCCGGAACGAAAAACATGCAGATACCCAATAAAGCACTCGGAATCAAGTAGATCCAACTCACAGTACGCCACTGACAGAAGGTGCTATCGGTAGCATTGGGATCAGTAGAACCAGCATCAGTCCTGAACCCCATTCCAAGGGCATAGGCTAGAAGAATACCAATCGTGATGGAAAGCTGATTGCAAGCTCCCAAAGCACCACGAATAGCGGTTGGAGAGACCTCACCGATGTAGGTGGGGGCCACGACGGACTCGACACCAACAACAAAACCGACCAGAACACGAGCAAACAGCAACTGCCACGAAGTGTGAGCCAAAGCTTGCCACACGTAAATCAGAAGGAAGCAGGGAGAGCACAACAACAGAGTCCATTTCCTCCCAAACTTCTCAATAAAAGGACCACCCAATAGGATAGCACCACCCATAGCACCCAAGTTAACCAGAGATCCGAACAACGAACCTTCTGTAGATGTATCAAACACATACAAGTGGTCATCGGGACCAACCTGGATGGGTATACCATCTGCAGTAGTAACATTATTCTGCATGGTATCAATAGTTTGACCAGTGAAGCCAAGAGTTAGACCAAACATGAGTGGTCCCAGCAGGGATGCTGCAACGGAGAGTATTGCACAGAGATATTTCATTGGCCTTAAAAATGGATACGACTGAAAAACGAAGGCTTGATGCACCCCCGACTTGGTCAACCCTTGAAGCAAAGCTCTGGTATTCACGCATGTCAGAAATAAACTCTATTAACACTAGCTTCAGAGACAGATTCTAGCGGATTGTGTTCTGCTTGCGTTCTAAACAGCGAACAAGATATGCTCCATTGTCGACATGATACACAATTTGTGTTACACCGCTTACAGTGACACGCGCTTCTGAACAATCCGCGTCGCTATCAGGGGCCTATTTCACAAGCGTCCTTAGATTAGGACGTCTTTACGTATAGGATTTTAACCTTAGGACGTCCTTACCTAACTAAGGCTATTTCACAAGATTTTCCTTACCTAACGTTAGGATCCTATACTTAAAGACGTCCTTACCTAACGTAAGGATGTGCTACCTGAGGATATTAGGATTCCTAACGGCAATTAAACACAATGTAAAACATTATACAACTACGAATTGAACCTGGATCGGTCGAATACCAGCCGCAAACTCTACCACCGCACCATTTTATACTTGATATAAATGGAATACGAATCCGTTCATCAACCCACGGACGACAAAGATAGTGCCACAAGGCGCCATTCAGCAGGTTCAACAGATAAAACCAATTTTATTATCAACTGATACGCGTAATGAATGATCCAGTAATGGACCATTATGGATCTTAACGTCTTCTGGCATGGAGGGGTCTTGCAGTAAAAAAAGGCTTGACTCTACCGAAGATGAGCATTTGTAAGGCGTTTCATACGAAGTTTATAAGCTTCAGATAAGTATCGAACTTGGTAAAGAGTTTTGTTAATAGTTATAAGATTTTTGTTCAAGTTACAAATTAATTTAAAAATGTACTCGCAGAGTTTCGAACCAACGACTGTTTGGCGGAACGTAGCGAGTCGTCTTGTACACCTTTAACGTTAGGATGGTCGGTAAAGTACCCCCCCGAGGTACTTTACCATTAGGATAAAAATTTCCTTAAAAATATAGCTTGTGAAAGCCGAGCGTCCTAACAGCCTGTTTTTGAGGATAAAGGCATCCTATTATCCTAAATCCTAACGGTAAGGATCCAAATGTCCTAAAGTCCTAACCCAACCTAAAGAAAGGGCCCTTGTGAACGCCATTTATCCTTAAATTGCATCCTAATGGGTTAAAATCCAAACATTAGGACGCTTGTGAAATAGGCCCCAGGCCTAAACAAGGGCTTTTCAAAAAGTATGAGGCCATACAACTCTAATTCATCACCGACACCACTGACTTCCTCATAAAGACTAGTACTATGATAATGATAAGTCAATCCGATCCCTTCAACCACCATGCTCTTGTCACGCTTCAACACTCTTTTGCCTCGCTTACACGCTTTGTTGATTGGTCCAAAACCTCTTAACTTCTTGGCTACGTTGGGAGAGGAGAACCTAGAGTTGAGATCCAACCTTTCTCAGAGTGCTATTCCCCATGAATTCAAGCACACTAAGAAGTGTTGAATGTGTTGTTTCTTCCCAAGGTAGCTTTTCCCTTCTCCCTTATGTATCTCTACCTAGATTCTTCCATACTTGAAACTCACAACTCAACAATCTCCCAATTTGAATTATAGACTCGAGCGATGCTCATTTATCCGGAAAATCTACCCGGCTGACCATAACGATAGGAAAGTACATAAACACCATTTCAGTATGTAATCGGTATAAAATAAGCAGCAAGAGAAACGCGATGCTGCTAATAAAATTTCGATCACCAGAGAATAAAGCTATAGATTGGAATTAGATAAATTTAGGTAACTTAAGGTAGCAGAAGTTGCTTAAAGGACAAGAATAAAGAAGACCACATCAGTCCGATACGATCTACTCTAAAGAATGAACAAAGTCCATATAGAGCAATCTACTACCCGGCAAATTCTACCATACAGTATAGGAAAGTACTTAGTTATATCACCCAAGTACTTCAAATCATCAAGAAATGATTTAGAGAACCTCATCCACCTTTCGCAAATCAGCTGGAGATGAACCTTCAGCAGAGACTTGCAAGGCGTCGTTATCGGTCGAGGAGTCAGAATGCTCCTGTACCTTGCTGTTATCCACAGCCTTCTGACGATTCCTGTACTTATTCAAACACTCGCAGTTTATTATGTGGCCCTCATCAAAGTAGGCCTGGATCGTTTCGAACGACCTGCCCTTAGTCTCGGGGATAAACAACAGGACGAAGACAACCATGACGAAGCACATGAAAGCGAAACTCCAGAAGACACCCTGGTAAGTAATCGCTTGCCTATAGTCATCCAAAAACATAGTGACGATCCAAGAGAAGAACCAGTTTGTAGCGGTAGCGATAGAGCTTGCAAGACCTCTCACTTCGTTGGGGAAAATCTCGGACATGATCAACCATGGGATAGCACCAACACCGATTGAGAAGGATGCAATATACAAGAAAGCAGCGAAAAGAGCCAACGCCGGAATGTTATTATCATCAATACCTTGTTCAAAGAAGAAGACGCCCAATAAGATAGCAGCAATACACATACCAACTGCACCCAACACGAGCAAGAATCTTCTTCCGGCCATATCCATGACAATACAAGCAATGAAGGTGACAACAACCTGCACGGCCATAACAGCAAGAGCCATAGTCTCTTTATTATCCAAACCTGCAGCCTGGAAAATAGTAGTCTGATAGAAAATAACAGCGTTAATACCAGATAACTGCTGCAAAATTTGTAGAACGACACCAATGAACAGCTGCATCTTAGCACGACCCAAGGCATGCCAAGACCACTTAGCAGTCTCCTTCCAGTTGCCCTTAGCATTCTTGGCATCATTTTCAGCCTCGGCCTCGTACGCCTTAACCTCTTCCACGATCTCAGGATCCTCCTCAACGGTCTTAGAACCACGGAGTCTCAACAAGACTCTCTTGGCAGCATCAACACGATTATGCTCAGCCAACCAACGAGGGGACTCAGGGACGAAAAACACACAGATACCAAGAAGGGCACTGGGAATCAGGTAGATCCAACTAACATCACGCCATTGGCAGAAAGTGCTCGAATTGGCGTTAGGATCAGTGGAACCAGCATCCGTTCTGAAACCTAGACCAAGAGCATAGGCAATGAGAATACCGATAGTGATAGACAACTGGTTGCAGGCACCCAAAGCACCACGAATCTTAGTCGGAGATACCTCACCAATGTATGTGGGGGTCACAACTGATTCAACACCGACCACGAAGCCAACGAGAACACGCTCGAACAACAGCTGCCAGGAAGTATGAGCCAATGCCTGCCATACGTAGCAAAGCACGAAACAAGGAGAACATCCAAGCAAGATCCACTTCCTACCGAACTTCTCGATCAGAGGGCCACCCAGAAGAATAGCACCTCCCATAGCACCAAGGTTAACCAATGAACCGAACAAAGAACCTTCTGTAGAGTTAGTGAACACCCAAAGATGATCATCGGGTCCGATTTGCACCGGTGTACCATCACTCATTGTGATTCCATTTTGCATGGTATCGATAGTTTGACCAGTGAAGCCCGAAGTCAAACCGAACATTAGTGGTCCAAAAAGGGACGCACCCACGGAGAGAATAGCGCAAAGGTACTTCATAGGATTAGAGGTGTTAGAGTATCACTATAAAAAACTGAAGAAAACCACCAATACCCAAATGAAATGTGACCAATCTACTCTTCTATAATCACGAATACCAATCTCATCTTGTGAATCACCTTGAAGCTAAGATTGGAAATAAGCTAATTAGCTTTGCCCAAGGACACTGCTAGTCCTTGGGGCCGACGCTTAGTTTTGTGTTGGATCTGTCCCCTACGGCTGGGAGTGGATGATGCCAACTCGACATGGTCGATAGAAAGGTTAAGGACATCTCGAGATCTATTTGACGAATGGGGCCGCTATGCCCACTATGGACAATACCATTCAGGAATGCATTTCGTGAACGGGGTCACTATGCCCACTATGGACAATACCTTTCAGAAATCTATCTGGCAAATGGGGTCGCTATGCCCACTATGAATTATAACATCTCGAGATCTATTCGGCAAATGGGGTCGCTATGCCCACTATGAACTATAACATCTCGAGATCTATTCGGCAAATGGGGTCGCTATGCATACTATGGACTATAACATCTCGAGATCTATTCGGCACGTGGGGTCGCTATGCCCACTACGTACTACACCATTCAGAAATCTATTCGGCGAACGGGGTCGCTATGCCCGCCACGGGCCATACCATTCAGGAATGTACTTCGCAAACGAGTCGCTAGGTCCACTACGGACTATACCATTCGGAAACCTATTTGGCGAACGGGGCCGCTATGCCCACTATAGACTATACCATTCAGAAATCAATTTGGCGAATGGGGCCGCTATGCCCGCTACGGACTACGATTCCATGTACGCGAGCGAGGGTATGATTTATATTGGAGAACCGTATAGGCGGATGACAGGATTCAGCGGTGCTGTTCGTATCGAGTTTACAAGTTTGCGAATAATGACCTCAGTTCCATGATCGAGGAACAACAACTCCGTCGATAGTCTGAGAGTTGCATTGCAGTGGTACCCCTCAGTGGTAATAACTCGCCTCAGCTTGTATCATTCAATTGTTTATATCCCAAGGAAGAAGAGCATGAGGTGTTGCTGCTGCGGAAGAGCCTCGCTCAAAGAAAAGGATCGAAATACCTTACCAGGACAGTTCCGGGCTCCTCAGAGTTGAAATGACTTCTTTGCAATAGGCCCCAGAACGAAAGACCCCGAAGGCAGCAGGTGAAAAGGTGAATGTAATACGGACGGAACTCCACTATATGCCATCTCGAACGAACTCCACCCTACCTCCTGTATCAACATAAGCAAACCAATAGTGTAGTACATCGCGAAACAGCAGTTTTTTGACGGTACACAAGATATGATACTTGGAATGACTATAGTCTGTCTGTGGTTAAGGCGCTATAACACTCCAGTATCAACAGGATCTGACAAACGAGCGATAAGGGACTGGATATGTCTTTAAGCCTGTTGAAAGCTTACCAATCCCAAGTGAGGGAAGACGAACACCGGCGAGCTCATCACATAGAACGTCAGCAAGAGAACGCTGATTCCTCCGATGTAGTAGAAGAGGTCTGAAAGGGATATGGATCGGCTGGAACCACCACCGGCTCCTGCCTGTTCTGCCAGAGACTAGCACCGCTAGCGAACCAAGGATAACCCCTTTGAAAATTATGGGGCCTAGAAGGTCTTCTCCACTGAGAATCTGCTCAGACCCCTGCCATATCGTCATTCTAAGGCTCGCAGGAAGAACCTGGAACCGAAGAAGTCCAAATCACTCCAATGATCTGGTGCACGACCGCCTTACTTGATCAAATGTTGGTCGGCTTGCGAAAGTGAAAGGGCAGTAACATATCGCCACCACAAGCACAGCCAAGTGCTTCAACAGATGCTGTATCTAGGGAGAACAGCGTGTGATTCTCTCTCGCTGCTAGGGAGCAATGCCGTCGATCCACAGTGACCGCACTGACCTTCGAGTCCCGAAGACTTGCAAAAAGTCTTTTGATTGCGGTCAGGTTGCAGAAACCAAGTAACAGTCCTGAGACCAACCAGGGAGTGTACATCCGCACTAGTGAGATCGTTGATAGCTGCCACGACGCCCTGATAATTCGAGAAAACAATTGTGCGTTCCCATTGAGCAAGATCTTGGGTACTCATGAGAGTTTGCGAACTGAATCGTACCACTTACACTATGAAAATTAGTAAGCAATGCCATTCGGGTGCGACTCTGAATCCCAATCGAAGCTCTCGCGGAAGCATGTCGGTGGATATCCGAATTTGCTCGGAGGCGAGAAGGACCATAACTGAGAAACTACGCTCCTAGTCCCACTAAGTCACCCACTGCGACGATCGTGCAATCATAATGCCAGTTCGCATTCAAGTCCCGTGACTAGGCTTACGTGCAACAGCCAATGGAAGGCTCCCCTCAACCCTATTGTATCTTAACGGTTCATTACAGGTGCTGATACCATTGAGATCCATCACGCGCATCAGGGCGAAACCAGTTGCTGCTACTATCAAGGCCGAGACAAAGGCACGGAGAGTTCCTGAGTCGATGAGACCAACATACGCTCTGCCCAATCCTTCACAGTCATGCAGTGCATCCTACCTACGCGCAGTTCCCAGGTGTACCCAAGAATCACTAACATCAGTGTCAGCGTGGCGGCTTGCAAAAAACTCAATGCTGCGTTGGAAATGATCAATGTTCGAAAACCAGACAAGGCAACACCCTTTAGATCATCGACCTGTTAGAGAGTTCGAGATCGCCTATACCAGATGGAGAACCCCCTACGCTGTCGAGTCGGCCCCGAATGCATTCCATGCACTCTTGTTGTGTTGTCCATGGGTTGGGCGAAGGGAACAGATGAGCGTCCAGGGCGTCCAATAGCCAGAGCACCCAAATAGATCCCGCGAGGGTCAGGCACAGCAAGGGATGATCACGAGAGTCTCGAATGTGCTGAAGCGACAAATGCATGTTTACTCCATTTCGTTCAATGTCCACAGGGAGAACCCGCCGCAATCATTGCGAATCGAAGACCTGAACTTACATGAAGCAATACTAACCAACTCTTAAAGATCCCTTCTGGGCTCAAAGGACTCGGAAGCTGCTCAGTTGCTGAATACACTGGCATGACGGAAAGATGCCGAGAATATCTAGAGAGGAATATCGACGGATTGTGACGCCATGACGCACTGTCCGACCGACTTGCATTGATAACATCAGAGCGTCTACAAGAAGGTCATTCCTGTAACGCTCGCGATGTCTCACGGTCCAACATGGTGTTACAAGGAATCGAACCCTGGACCAGTTGATCGAGGTGCACTACGGTCAACGCCTTTCGTCAAGACTTTTGTGTGCTCTGTCACCGCGACATCATGCGCAGCTGATCCATGGCGGGCCCACAAAGGCTTCTGTAAATGTCAGTTCACAGCTGGTGGGACGAAGCTTGAACGTTGTTCAGCTGAGACATCTACGTTGACAAGATCATCCCTTCACAGTTCCTTTCCTCAATAACGACTATGTCATCCGACTCCAACGCAACACTCCGCATCGGGTCCAGAAGGAGCGACCTGGCCCGTCTGCAGACACTCATGGTGGCAGACCGGCTTGAAGAAATGGGTTATGAGGTAGTGCTTGTCGGGGGCAGTGTCGTGGTCAATTGATGACAGGTTGAATGTGAGTACCAGGAGGCTCCTGGGGATACCAACTTGAAGGACCCTCTGTGGAAGATGCCCGAGACCGGAGTCTTCACTACCTTCCTAAGGCAGAAGCTGTTGGAGGGTAGGCGACCTGTCATTGAGTATTGTTCAATTTCCTCTGTGGAGTTGAGCACGTGGCCTCGTCGAGTGTTCAATGGATTTTCTCTGCAGGAAGCGTAGACCTAGTGGTCCACTCGTGGAAAGACCTTCCTCTGGCCGAGGAGGCTGGTACTACTGTAGCGGCTACCTTGCCCCGGGCTGACCCTCGAGACCTCATCATCATCCGCAAAGACGCCGAAGCCGAAATGTACTAGTGCCTCGCCGATAGCCGCAGTTACTCTGCCATTGGTTCCTCAGTCGTGCGATGAACGGCAAGTTGATTGTACTGTCGTCCTCTCCTCGGAGGCAGTGGAATCTCCCAGCGTTCCTTCAGAGGGCGGTTCCTGGTGTTGAGACTGTCGAGTTCCGAGATGTTCGCGGCAACATCCAAGTAAGCTTTTGTGGGTCCGGCTTAGCTGTGAATCTAGTCATCTCCTCAGACGCGGATGCGTAAGCTGATGGACCCAGCCCGACACAACGCCAGTCTCGGCCCTCGACCCCACGCCTTGGTCCTCGCTAAGGCTGCGGTGGATCGCTTTGCTCAGAGCCATCGAGAAGAGTTCCGGAATAGTCGAGAGCTGGTTGAAGGGTAAGAGCTCTGTCCACCCCTTAGTCCCCTCAAATGACAGCTTCAATGGTGCCCCGCTGTACACTGCAAGGAGCTCTCATAGCTTGTCTAAACGTGTAGGTACTTGTCCAAGTGTCACTGCATGGTATTGCCTTTATCTGCTAACCCAACTGCTGCAGCTCAGGGAGCCTTGGGGGTTGAGGTCAGCACGGCGTCTGAGAAGGAGCATGTTCGGAAGGTAGAATGGCCATTCGCTGACTAGGAGTATCTTCATTGGGCGTTTTCAGATCGTCTCTAAGCTCAACGACGAGCAAACATTCCAAGCCGCCTGGCGGGAGAAGGAGGTCCTCGGCGCGTAGGCTCCTAGGTTGTTGTATCCCCCTGTTGATGCGCCTGGTGTAGGTATGGTGGAGGATGTCATCAGAGGATCGGGTGCACGGTCTTGCCGCGATGGTACGGCAAAGTAGAGCACTTGAGGGGCCGAACAGATGGAGGAGTAGACCTTTTGAGGAGCGAAATCATTCCTACCAACGCCATTGATGACAGTTTGCGAGTCGACCCCGGCGAGCATCCACTGAAGGTAATACACTGGCTGCTGCTGGGAGCTGTGATCGTTCCTCAGCATTACTGTCTCAGGTTGGGGGTGCTGGAGGACTCTCACTTTTCACCCGTGAAGAGGATACTACAGCAGGTGAACGCCTATTGGAGGCCTTGAGGAGCGCTGGGGACGGGGTAAGTGGCCTCTATTGCTGTAATGGGTGTAGAGAGTGGTTCTTTGATGCTAGGTCGGATTGTGGATTGCCAAGTCTACTGCATTACCCAATGCCCCTGCGGACTTGGTAGAGGATATCAATGCGATGAACATCCCTGTGTGGGTGGCAGGCATCCCTTCGTGGCAGCATCTTGCACAGAGGGGCCTTTGGTGTGTTGGTAAGGTTGGTGGTCACCACTGTTGTTGATGGAGTGTGGGCGTCCTTCAGGGTGCACTGATGGTCTTGGCGAGATCGAGGATCCTGACTTGAAGAAGAGCATCGCTCCGTCGCTGAGGAAGTGGATCAAACTCACTCATACCAAGGCGGCTGAGGAGCAAGGAGATGGTCATTTCAACACGGCTCCTGATTGCGAGGTATGGCGAAAGTAAACGAGAGGAGTTCAAATGACTCGTTTATAGGTGGAACAACTTGGGACCTATACGTTGGTTTCGAAGTATGAACCTCGGAGCTGTCCAGAGCAGTTGAAGTCCGCTACCTATATCTTCTGGGGGAGTGGTTCGGCCTTTACGGAGGCTCGTAGGTTGCTCCCGGACCTCCTCGACAAGGTGAGCTCTCTTCACCGTGAGGTGGTTGAAGCGCCTCGTCTTAGGTGCTGGTCCACGGGACTGGGCCTGGACATACGTTGGAGACACTCTTAGCTGCTGGCGTGCCGAGAGAGCGCATTGTTGTTTGCCTCAACTACGATGAGTTTGAGAGGCGAATTCACCGTGATTGATAAGTCGACCACAAAGAGCATTAAGCTCGAGTTACCGCATACAGCGGATATATTACTTCTATTCAAGAGTTTCTTCGCTGCTGTTATTAACAACAAGTAGACAAGTTTACGGTTGTGAAACTGAAGTTGAGCGTGTCAATGCCAATCAATATAATGGCTCCGGGAGAAACACCATCAATTGCGGTGCACGCACGTACACAGAACTGCACGCACGAACAAGGCAGAACTGGGCTCGTCAATTCTCGATATGTGCAGCCCATACAGGTGTTTCCTCAGAGGTGTCTTGAACCAGAATTGCGTTGTCAGGGCCCTTCTCAGTCTCAGAGGGAGTTCCCTCACATTTGGGAAGTGGTGGTTAGTTGATATGAGGGCGTGGTAGTACTGTCTACCTACAAGTTGTGTCCGCTGTTCAGTTGCCTTCACAGTTCTCCATGCAGAGGGTTGTACCAGCTCTGGGTGGTCGGAAGGCTCCATGGTCGGCCGTTCGTATGTTCTCTTCACGGAAGATAGCTCCAGCATGGCCCTACTATCTCGCTGGGGAAGCAGTGTGATAGCAGATGGCTGCGGCCCCCCCTGAGCCGCTGGTCTTAGATACTCTAATACCGACCTCGAGGTTACCGATAAGTATAGTGGCGCTGTGGTGTGTCGCGTGGCCTTGGCCAAACCTCCGGAAGTAGAACGAGCTATAGCTGCGGCTCATGGAGCTGAGAAGACGATGGCTGCGCTCCCGGCATTTCAACGAAAGAGAATCCTCCAGCATTGCGTGGAAAGGTGGGAGTATTGGAAGTGTGGATGATGCGGAGAGGTGAACAATGAGGATAGGTTCCGAGACAGAGCTGAGGAGCTGGCCTACTGTCTGTGTGTGGAGGCTGGTAAACCTATTGTGGATTCTCGCCTGGAGGTGAGAGAGGATGGGGATATGGTCTCTATTTGATCCGAATGTTCGTGGAGTATATTAATGGGGTTGTTACTATGGTACCTGATGGCAACAACAGTGACGCGTGTTTGACCTAACGACCGTTCGGTTGACAGCTTTTCGATCCGCCCATTGAATTAGTCGTAGTTCTTTGATTTAATCTTATGTAAATCTTCGGTCCCTGGTAAAATTTAGTCATCCATTCACAGGAATACCTCGTTGATTCAATCACTTCCTTGTCGTCGAGCAGGTCTTGCGCCTCATCGACACCTTCTCAATTGCCGCTGAGGAAACGACTCGCATGTCCGGCGAGTGGAGTAGCATGGAGACATCCGAGAGATATCGGGGCCTCCAGCAAATCTATAAGCGAGTCCCCAAAGGCGCCGTGTCCATGATTACGCCATTTAATTTTCCTCTCAACCTCGCCGCTCATAAAATAGCTCCTGCGATTGCTGTTGGGTGTCCATTTGTACTGAAGCCGGCCAGTGCCACCCCGTTGGGCTCATTGATAATAGGCGAGGTTCTTGCTGAGTGCTCGGACCTTCCCAAAGAGGCCTTCTCGATAATACCCTGCTCGAGGCAAGGTAGTAGTAGTGTGGGATGGAGCGAACTTGGGAGATGGTGATTCCCTCTAGATGGAGATCCTCTTACGACTGATGACCGATTCAAGTTGCTCTCGTTTACTGGCAGTCCGAGCGTTGGATGGAATTTGAAGTCGAGGGTAGTTTTCTGTGTTTAGCCTTGGACAGGTGTGCTCTATGTGTTAGGCTGGCAAGAAAGGGGTAGTGCTTGAGCTTGGCGGTAATGCTGCTTGTATAGTTGACTGCATACCACACGAAGGGCTAGAGTACCTCGTGGATCGCATAGCCTTTGGGGCTTTCTATCAGAGTGGACAGAGTTGCATATCTACCCAGAGGCTTTATGTTCGAGACGGCTTATACGATAAGGTGTGGGAGGCCACCGCCGGAGAAGCTCCCCGGTAATTTTCTCAGTTAGGTAGTGAATGCTCTAGTCGCGAAGGTGAAGTCCTTGCGTATGGGTGATCCGAAGGACGAGAATACATTCATAGGCCCTATGATAGCAGAGAGAGAGGCTAGCAGGCTAGAGAGTGCTGTTGAGGGCGCGATAAGGGCGGGTTGCACTGTTCTGTGCGGTGGGGGCCGAAATGGATCTATGTTCGAGCCTACGCTGCTGGCCGACGTGCCTATCGAGACTGACGCTTGGGGGAAGGAGGCATTCGGGCCACTCTTGTGTGTTGCCAGCTTTGATAATTTTGAGGAGGTTGTGGAGAGGGCCAATGATTCCAAGTGAGGGAACATACTAGTGGCTCCGGGGTGATGGTTGGTATTATTCCAATGGTATAGGTATGGCATCCACGTTGGTCTTTTCACCAACGATTTGAATAAAGCTTTCTACGCCTGGAACAACCTGGAGTCGGGCGGGTTGGTTGTGAACGACGTCCCGAGTCTCAGGGTCGATTCAATGCCGTAAGTAGACTACGCTATAGTTGTGGTACAGCTAAGTACAGCGGTTTCTTGCGGTACGTGACTAAGCCGATGGCTTTAGACCGTTACCAGGCTGCACTTCGTGGTAAGCCGTTATAATCAGGTGCGGCGGGGTAAAGGACTCCGGCATTGGTCGTGAAGGTGTTAAGTATGCTATGGAGGACATGAGCGAAATCCGCACTATGCTCATCAAGAACGTCGGCTTAGCCGACAGGCTTTAACGAAAAACATTGGGCGGTCATTATTTTCAGAGAATCTCTTTAAAGCTTTGAGGGTGCTCGGAGCATCTCGCTTTCAGATTTACACCGCCGCGCACACAGTGCGTTGCTTTTCTCCCGCTTCATCCACTTTTCTGTTTTTGTTCATGCATATAGCGTGACAGATAGTTGATCTCGTTACGACTAGTAATAGGATATATAGCGAGAGTTGGAGTTTTTCACCTCATTGAGACCAATAGTCTCGGACCATCATGGCATTGAGTTCTGCAGTCGGGGAGCGCAATTCCAACAATTATGGAGGCGTTTCCCGATTTCTTTCAGTTGTGGAGGAGGTGATTGTTCTACGGGTCTGATCCGGCAGGTCTAGTTCATAGTGACAGTGGCGACAGAAGCTACAGTGTAGCTGCTACACCCACCTTGCTATACATTAAGTCGCGACGCAGCGATTTG